AAAGTCTCGCCTGGGGGAATTTGATATTTTGTTCTTTTTTATTATGGAAAAATGTTTACACAAATGTAGGTTTGCATTATAAAGGCCCACACATAAAGAATTGTGTTCTGAATTTCTTTCTTTTTAACAGCACTGGGAATTTAACGCCAGGGCCTCTCACTTGCTATCAAGAGTTCTCCTGCTTGAACCTTACTCTAGTCCTTTTGTTTTGTGTGTAGTTTGTTTTCAGACAGGCTTGCCACTTTGCACCAGTGGCCCTCGCACCACAATTCTCCTAACACTGCCTCCAAGTAATGAGATTACAGGTGTGGACTACCACTCCTGGCCCTCTAAATTCCTTTAAATATAAGAGAAGCCTTATCTACAACTAATTGACTTTTAGCTTAAATTACAAAAATGATTTTGTAGGTTTTAAAATAATTGAGTGTGGGTTTCTAATATCTAGAATAGTTTTAACAACCAAAATTAAACTGAAAGAATAAGTTTTTTTCTTTTTTTGACTGAAACGATTAGTAGCTTTTTTTTTTTTTTTGGGTACAGTGTTGTAGATGAACCTTCTCTTTGCAACTCCAGCGCTGTGCCACTTGAGCCATGTCCAGCCCTTTTAAAACAAAACAAAACAAAAAAACACTTATTTTTTGTTTTGAGATAGGGTCTCCCTAACTTTGCTACGCTGGCCTCAACTCTAGCTACTCCTGCTTCTGCCTCTCAGGTAGCTGGGATTTAAGACATGGGTTACCACATCCAATTTTAGTTTAGAATTTGTGACAAAACAAGCTGGTAAATTTTACTTGCACTTAGTATATATGAGATTACAAGTCACCTATTTAACTTTATCAGTTACCAATCATAGGCTCAGTACAGATTATGCTTTGTATTATTAGATAAAATTCCTTACGAATCTCTTTAGGTGGACATTTTTTCTGTAATTCAAAGTACTACATAGAGTTGAAAACAGGACAATATTCTGTCTTTAAGAAAAAACTAAATCAGTTTGCCTTTAGTAAATATAAATTATTATTATTTTTTATAGCATTGTAGTTAAGAATATGAACTCTATAGGGTTTGAATCCCATTTATATTAGGTTTTTGAGACTAGCCAAGCTATTTCTTCTTCTTTACCTTAGTTTCCTTATTTACAAAATGAGTCTTGGTCCTTGTCTTACATGATTGTTGAGAGACTGATGTACAGTAATGAATACATAATTCTAGCTAGCATCATGATTACTACTACAAAAAACTTATTTTATTTTGTAAAGTGTCTGGAGTCTTGTAAATAAGGGACTTACGAGGGAAACCTAATCTGTTTCAGAGCTCATCGAGGAGCCTATTCGAGAACTGACAATGGAAGAACATCTGATTGAGAGAAAGAAGAAACTACTGGAGAAGAAGATGCATATTGCAACCTTGGCATCTGCCATATTATCAGATCAGAAAGTAATGTATGTAGCATTAGTTTCTTTAGGTTTTTTGTATTACATAGAGTGTAATATATAATATATTAAGGTTTTCTTGTTGCTTATGAGCACATGCAAAAAGGTAAAGAAATTAAACCGAACGTAATAGCTGGAGTAGAGTAAGAGCATAGACAGAATCTTAGCTTAATACTATATCTGAACTTGATTTCTTTTGTAACCTTATAAAAGTCATTTAAACTCTCTTGAGTCTTATTTTCCTCATCTCCAAATGAAAATACTGGACTATTTTGGTAACTCTACAAGTGGTAAGTATCTGAACATTAATTGTATCAGGAAAGAGGAATTTACTTGCAAATTTGCTTGACTGATCTATAGATTTTTTAGTTCATTTTTTTGCTTCAGGGTCTCTCTGTGTAGCCCAGGCTGGACTTGACCACCTAGTCCTCCTCCTGTGCCTCTTGAGTGCTGAGATTACAGGCATGCACCACTGGGCCTGGTCTATAGAGTTTTTATTAAGGAACATGCTCCACAGAATTACTTTAAGTGGAAAATATTTTAAGTGAAATAGAGCAAAGTTACAGTGAATTTTCATTGGGTCTGGTGACTAATGGTGAAATAGTGATAATTATGTCTTGTGAACTAAAAAACCTAAGATTCTTGTCTTGGCCCTCCTGAGTATTGTTTTGGGACTGCATAGTTACTTTATCCAAAAATTACTTTCTTCATCTCTAAAAGAGGAATAGTATCTATTTTAAAAATTTTGTTGAGGAGTTTAAATGAGAAAATAACAAATATTATATAATGTGATTTTTTATTCTTGCTGTATTGGCATTCCTAGCATCCTACTAGGAATGTTTATTGAGTAGTAAAATGTATTAATTACATTTACAGAAAAATTTCATATGGGCATGCTTTGGAGTAGTACTTGTCTTCTAATAAAGAGAGTCGAGTATCTGGAGTAAAATCAAGGATGGGAAGTTAGAATATTTCTTGCCTCTTTTATTAATTATAAAATCATGGAGATCTGTTGATCACTTTACAACTGAAAAATTGGGCCTGAAAAACTCAGATGAAGGCTAGAGATGTAGTTCAGAATGGCCAAGACCCTGGGTTTGATTCCTAGCACTGAGAGAAAAAAAAAACCCAAAACAAAACTCAAGTGATTTTTTTTCTCTCCTCTGATTTTAACAGCCACTCCAGAGTCTTCCAGCACTATGGATCCTTATTTCACACAGTGTAGGGATAGCAAACAGTGGCCTGTTTGGCTTACTTCTTGCTGTGGTAAATGTTGCTAATCAGTCAGAGCAGTTCTTTTCAAAGTGCTCTTGCAGTGGGCAATAGTAGTTCATCAAGGCAAGCATATTGCAACCTTTTTCGTTTTTGGTGGTGCTGGGCTGGAAATCACGGCCTTTGCTGGCTAGGCAAGTATGTGTTTTGTCACTTTCTCCACTCCCCAACCCTGAAACCCACACTTTTACTTCTGCATTGTCTCATACAGATTATCTTTATGTGAATCTAGTTGAAATTCATGTGGCCGACTATATTATATTTAATTCTTGACTAGTTCATGATGTGATTAATATATTTAGTATATGGAACATTTTAATATATTTCAAAAAGTGTTTTTAGGAAAATAAGATACATACTTTAAGAAGACTTAATCTAAGGGCGTGGTGGAGTGGCGTAAGTGGTAGTGCACCTGCCTAGCAAGCATGAAGCCCGAGTTCAAACCCCAGTACAACCAAAACACACAAAAAAATCTAAAAATAGGTATATTAAAATTTTAAGCTATTTTTGAATGACGTCAATATTTTTCTAACTACTTATATAATAAACATGGTTATTCTGTAACTTAACTAGACTCTGAATCAGGTGAATACTGCTTACTTTTGCTCAGCACTGTTTTGCCATGACTTCTCTAGTCTATAAATTATTTCTTTAACAGATTAAAAAACTAAAAGAATTACGTTCCATGCTGATGAACAGGATCCTGATGTGGGCTGTTACTGTTCGGAAGCTTGTGATAGTTTCTCTGATGGAGCTATTTAAGGACATTACTCCTTCATATAAAATCCGGCCCTAACAGAAGCAGAAAATCTACCAAGGTAATGCTAGATATAATTTTACATAAAATGAACTGAAAATTTTAGAGAACTAGAGATATATCTTTTTTTTTCTTTTTGTAAGCATTGGGCATGTATAGGCACTTTTGTTCTAGGTTTTAATTTTAATATTCTGATTTCTTTTTTTCCTTTTTTTTGGTGGAATTAGGGCTTAACTCCAGGTCTTCGTGCTTGCAAAACAGGTGCTCTACCCCTTGAGCCACACCTCCAGTCCTTTTTGCTCTGAGTATTTTGGAGATGGGGTCTCACACACTGTTTGCTCAGGCTGGCCTTGAACTGTGATCCTCTAGATCTCAGCTAGCTCGGATTATAAGTAACTGGGATTATAGGCGTGAGTCACCAGCACCCTCTATTCTGATTTCTTTAAAATGATCTTTTTGGTCTTTTCAGCTCCGCAAAGAAACCAGAAGTTACGAGAATTTGAAGAAGGCCTGGTTAGCCAGTACAAATTTTATTTGGAAAATCTGGAGCAAATGGTTAAAGGTATATTAAATGTATCTTAAATGTATATGACATAATCGCAAAGGTGAATTCTGTATTCTGTGCTGAGTAGTGAGAAGCAGATAAAGTATATGGTAAGAAAGTGAGTTTAAGACTTTCTGGGCTCAGTCTTTCTCAACCATTTATTACCTATGTAATAAGCAAATGATTCAATTTGTCTGTGCCTCAGTTTTCTTTTCTACAAATGAGAGCAATAATAGCACTTACCTCTTAGGATCACTGTGAGAAATAATTGAATTAGAGCTCTAAAGCACTTAGACCTGTGCCTAGCATGTCTCGGTACTAAGTCTCCTCAGCATTATTGATGTTGTAGTCCTTTATTTTTTTGTGTTGCTGGGGTTTGAACTCAGGGTCTCATCTACCACTTGAGGCACTCTGCCAGCCATTTTTGCTTTGATTATTTTGGAGAACGGCCTTGCGTCTTGCCCAGGCCAGGTGAACCACGATCCTGCTGTTGCTGGATGACAGGTGCATACCACCACACTATTGAGATGGGATCTCATAAACTTTATTTATTTATTTTTTTGCATTGACCGGCCTGGAACTGCCATATTCCGATTTCAGCTTCCCAAGTAGCAAGGATTCTACAGGTGTGAACCACGAGCACCTGGCTAGTCCTTTATTGTTTTGTAATTTTTTTTCCCTTGTTTTGTGCTGGGGATTGAATTAAGGACCTCGTTCATGGTAAGCAAGTACTGAACTGCTGCTGGTGAGCTTCACCCCTAGCCCTACTTAGTAGCATTTATTCTCCCAAGGATAGGATATTATAATTTGTATATACTAGCACTATCCAAAAGCAAAAAAAAAAAACCCCATACTTAATATGTGCCACATATGTCATTAAAAAAATGTAGCCAAACTTAAAAGGAAAAAGCAATGAAATTAACGGTAAATTACATTTATTCAAATTATGATTTCAACATAATTTAATAATCAATCTTAAAGATTAGTGAGATGTTTTATGTCATTATTACTTTGGTCCTAAGTTCAAAATCCAATGTATATTTCATACTTACATCATATCTGAACATTTTAGATGCTCAGTTGCTACCTATATTTGGCTAGTTGTCTCTGTACTTGACCATGCAGGTATAGACTTTTTCTAAGTAGATCTGACCACTATGAAGTCTTTCTCTTTTTTTCTTTTGGATTGTTTTTTAAATTGTGATAAAATACACATTTACCATTGGAAAAAAAGCTAATTTATTCAATTCTGATCAATGATTAAAGCAAGTAACTGCATTTATCTTTTAATTAGACTGGAAGCAGAGAAAGCTGAAGAAAGTAATGTAGTTCCTTAAAGGCATATAAGGGACTGGCTGAAGTGGCTGTGAAGAGCTGTGTGAGCTATTGGTGGCACTACCTCATTTTAACTTTCACAACAACATCATTGTCTTGATTGTCCCTCTCATGAATGACATGTCAAAATCGGTGGGTTGCTCTAAATGGCCTTATTGCTGTTGTCCTTAGCAAAAAATTATATACTATGTGATTTCCTTCCCCTATCCCCAGTTCTTTTGGAGCTATTGCTTATTGATAAATAGTATTGATTATATTAAACACTGTCACTTTAAGAAAATTATTTGAACATGTTTAGTGGAGTGTTTTTCAACTGAAGGCACTTTGCCCCCTGCAGGACACTAGTCAAGATCTGCAGACAGTTTTGATTGTCATGAGTGTGGTGGTAGGAAGTGTGGTTACTACTGTCTAGTGGTAAAGGCCAGGGATACTTTTTAACATCATACAAGGCACAGCACAGCTCCCTCACAACAGAATTACCTGACCCAAAATATCGGTAGTGCCAAGATCAGAAACACTTGTTTAATGTAACATTGTATTTTTCAGATATCTGAAATGTGTTGTGAGGCAGTAAAGAAACTCTTTAAACAAGATAAATTAGGACAAGCTTCTCTTGGTGTAATAAAAGTGATTTCTGGCTTTGTGAAGGGCAGAAATTATGAAGTTAGACCAGAGGTAAGCCTTTTACTTTTTCTTTTTTTTTTTTTTTGGCAGTACTGGAGTTTGAACTTAGGCCTCACTTTTGCTAGACACACACTTTATGGCTTGAGCCACTCAGCCAGTCTTTTTTTTTTTGTGATGGGTGTTTTTGAGACAGAGTCATGAACTATTGCCTGAGGCTGGCTTTGAACCATGATTTTCCTGATCTCTGCTCATGAGTAGCTAAGATTACAGGCATGAGCCACCGGTGCCTGGCTACTTGTGATAATTTTTTAGTGTTCACTTATTTCACTAAATATTTGCTATGTGCAGGCACTATTCTAGGTCCTGGGATAAAAAACAAAAGAAACAAAGCTGTGTATTTGTGGTGCCTATATTACATAGTAAGCATATTAAATCTTTGTTACATAGATTGCAAATTTTTCTTGGTAAAGCTGCCTTTAATTTGCTTTGAGCTTGACATATGAAGCTGTATTATTTCATGCACAGAGACATCTCATCTCAAGCTTTACAGAGTTTCTTCCAGAAGCTTTTTTTTTTTTTTTTTGGTGTGTGTTGAATAGTAAAGTCATTTGACATCTTTGAGTATATACTGGTATGGTTGCAGATACACAGTACATATGGCTGTATTATGTGTTATATATATTATTACGTGACAACTATGTATTAAAATGTACTAATACATACAGTATTTTTAATACATAGTTATATGTATTAATATATTTTGTACATCTGAAATGAATGGCCAGTATATTTTGTCATTTATTTAAGATGACTTTTAGGGTTTTTTTGTTTTGTTTTGTTTTTTTGAGGTAGAGTCTCTTTCTCTATGTTACTGTTCTCAAACTCTATTGTAGCCCAGGCTGACCTGGGACCTGAGATACCCTTGCCTCCCAAGTGCTGACATTACAGTTGTGTACCACCATATCCATCTTATTGTACATTCTTAAGTGAAGTTTTATAGTTTTCTTCATTTGGGTTTTGGATATTTGTGTTAAATTTATTTTTACTCATAGTGTTATTTGTTAAGCTGATATTTTCTATTCAGGTGCTTATTTTCTTACTTAATAGTTCTTTCGCCATCAAATCCTTTTTTTTCTCTTACACGTGGTAATTTCAGTTGAACCACTAAGGTGGCAAATACTAAGCTTAAGTAAGAGAACTGTTTCGATCTTTATTCATAATTATAGAGTGATCAGATAATAAGGCTTAAACATGACATTCAACCATAAAGAAACTCTTGCACCTTAGTGATGTCATAACAAAAACTGTATCCCCAGGTGCTGGGTAGGGATCAAACCCAGGGCAAGCACTGTACCACAGAATTATTTTCATGGTCTCCTAAAATCTATATCCTGTAATTTGGGGTTATTTTTTATTGGTAAGTAATCTTTTGTAAGTACATAATTGTACCTACAAAATATTTGAAATTGACCTTTGTAATACGAAGAGTCACTTCAGATTTATATTTTATATTTTTAGTTATACTTTGTTTTTATTTTATGCTTTTAGCCTTATTACCTGAAATGCTCAGCTTTCTGAGCCTACTAGAACATTGAAATAATACAAATCTGTATTTCTCAAGTTTTTGTTCTAGGACTACAGCAGGTCAATAGGTAGTTTCTTCCAGAGAAGGTAAAGTGTTTTAAACCCTTTTTGTGCTGTGTATTTGAACATGAAAATGGTTGCTTTGGGACATAAAATGGCAATTTTCAAGGTACTTCTAAAGTTTCTGAATGGTGTAAGGCAGGAATTCTCATTTTTGACCCTGGACCAACATCAGCTGAGAAGTAGAAATACAAACTCTGGGGCTCCACTCCAGACCTACTGAATCAGAAACTGGGGATGGGGCCCAGCTGATGTGTTTACATCTGTCAGGGATTCTGATACTCGCTAAGGTTGGGGAACCATTGGCTTAAAGGAAAACTAGCAGTCTTCAAATAAATAACACTACTCTTTGAGCTGTTTTTTATTGTGAGAAAGATGGATACTAGTGCTGTTAACTGCAGAACTGAAATAAGGTTGGTAAATTAAAGCTCATTTAGAAATATCTTAATTTCTCCTTTTTTCTTATACTGTTCAGTTTTTTGTCTGTATACTCTGTAATCCTATCTACTAATGCAGTTATACCTGTTAAACAGTAAAGTTTTGTGTAGTATCCAAATACTAGCATTATTTCATAGGCACAAATAACTGAATATGATTAGCAAAAAGATTCTGGAACTTTTTATGTGAGAAAAGATGTTTCCAAGTGTTTTTGCATGACTGAAAGAATAACATTGTTAAATAATGTTAATGTTAAATGAAAAATGTTTTCTATACAGAGTTTTGGAGGGCAGTATAAATATCAAGCTGTGTATTTGTATTTTTTTCAATATTAGATGTTAAAAACATTTTTGTGCCTAAGAATCAAAGAAGTTGAAGTGAAAAAAGATACAGAGGATATTAATAAACCAAAAAAAGTTCATGACATTCAAGGAAAAGAGAAAAACGTATCAAGAATGCAAAGAAAGGTTTTGGTTTCTTTTATTTTTTTTTTCATTTAAGTATCTGTTATAATTAGTGTTAGGTTAATGTCGTAGTATAGGCACAGGTAAGTCATAGTTAAGAAAGTAATTCTTTTTTTCTTCTAAGACAGGTTGGCCTCTAACTCATGATCTTCTTGCGTCAGCCTTCCAAGTGCTGAGATTCATAAAAATTTTGAAAGCTGATGGTGCAGACACCTATCATCTTAGCTCCCCAAGGAGGGCTAAGGCAAGAGAATTTGTGTGCCCAGCTTGGGCCACAATTGTGAGACCCTCTCTCAAGAAAGAAGCAAAACAGTGAATTCAACTATGATATTGCAGAACATTTGTGAATGTCACAATGCACTCTCAGTACAACAATAATAATAATTAAAAAAAAACCCAAGAAAATGAAATCAAATATTTAGAGATTTTTTTCCCAGTTATTGTAAAGAAACATTTTCTTAAATCAATTTGAATTGACAACTGTTGGCAGAAGAACAATATTTTCTCTCATGTGGCTTTTTATCTTTTGGCTTTTAGATCAATATAGAATTATTATGATACCATTTTTTTTCCTTAACAGAAAGGATGCATTCATATGTGGTTTTGTTAATTGAACCATTGTTTTTTATTGGTTGGAATTCCAACTCTTACTTAACTTGGGTTGACATTCCATGGAACCTCTTGATATTAACTGAGACTTTGGAAATATTAGGAATGGGGCTCAGAGCATGTACTTTATAGGATTACTATGCGGTTTACATGAAATGATGTACATAAAGCATTTAGCGTTCATAACATCAGGCAAGCTTTAGAGACATTAGTTGTTACTGCCACCATCACAATAAAGCATTGTTACCATTTCTCAACTGTTTGTTAGAGTTATGAAATTTCTTGTAAAACAAAATAGAAAATAATTTCCAGGTATATTCATTGAGTAGGTCTAATTTTTGAAAACAAAAAGTATCAAGATAGAGTAGTAATTTGCAAACAAATGACGATAAATGTATTAAAATTGTGTGGTATATATATAAGGTAAGTTGGTTATCTATGTTAGGAACAGCACATGTACAGTTGTGGGTAGGGAACATATGTATTAAAACTGTGTGGTATATATATAAAGTAAGTTGGTTATCTATGTTAGGAACAGCACATGTACAGTTGTGGGTAGGGAACAGAGACTCAATAAAAACATGGTAGCTCTTTAGAAATTTGTTTTTTATATACTTTATTATAATTATTGTTGTACTGGGTCTTTAACCTTCTCACGAAGGAAGCAAACTTACTTCAGTCTCCTGTGACTCAGGATGCTTGGTAACCATTGTCTGCTGCTCTTCCAGCAGTGGGGGTGGGAAAATATAGGTATTTTATTGAATTGCTATATAGTATCTGGTTTTACATGTTGTGTAGAAATAGGATTGGGGAAGAATTATTGGCTTCCATGTTACAGATTATTTAACACGAGGAAGTATTTTTGAGCTCAACTTACTCTTTTTTGAAAAACCTTTTTTTTTTTGTTTTTGTTGGTTCTGGGTTTGAACTCCAGGCTTCATGCCTACTAGGCAGGCACTCTATTCCTGCGTGATTTCGCCAGCCCTTTCTTTTGAAAATTTTTTAGTTGAAATAATTATAGAAAATGATGCATATTCCATATATCCAACATTCAAAATGAGTAGATATCAATATACTTACTTCAGTTTTTGTCTTGAAAGGAAAGAAACAGGGCTGGCATGGTGATGCACACCTGTAACCCCAGTTACTTGGGAAGCAGAGATAGTAGGATTGCAGTTCAAGGCCAGCCCTGGCACAGTTAGCAGGAGACCCTATCTGAAAAGCAAACTAGGCTGGGTGTGGTAGCTCATATTTATAGTCCTAGCTACTTAGGAGGTGGAGATACAAGGATCATGGTTTGATAAGGTGGGTTTAGTGGTGCACTAAACCCAGTTAAGCAGGAGGCATTGATAGAAGGATTGTGGTGTGAGGCTGGCCTGGGCAAAAGCATGGCCCCTATACTGAAAAATAAAGCAAAAAGGGCTGGAGGTATGGTTCAAGTGGCAGAGTGCCTGACTGGCTGTTTCACCAAAAAACCCCAAACAAACAAACACACACACACAACACAAAAAACAAAACCAGTTGGTGAGAGTAGGAATCCCCTTTGTTTCTCTCCAGTTTCATTTTGCCTTTCCCCAGCGGTAATTACAGTTATGGATTTTGTTTGGTTGTGTATCTTATCCATGTTTTTCTACTTTTGCTTATGTTTATGTTCATATACAATATATGGTCTGATTGTGTATTTTGTAATGTTGACATTCTGCCTCTGCTTTATTCACTCAGTGGTCTATACTCTTTTTTTTTTCCTTCTGTTTTCAGTGGAAGAAAGCAGAGGAGAAACTAGAGCGAGAGCTGCGGGAGGCGGAAGCTTCAGAGAGTACTGAGAAAAAACTTAAACTGGTAGGTGATTTTACATTCGGTTATACATTCAAAATGTTAAGTGAATATAACTTCAAATTTATTGTTTCAACTTTTTAGTGTATAATTTTGTTTATTTCATGAGGCTTAGGTGATTTTGTGCTGTGCAAGAAAATACGATGTAGTTGGTACTAATTTTATGAAATCACAAGTTGTGTCTTCGCTTTGTTAGGGGTGAGAAGAGAAGATTATTTAGCTTTGAAAGTCATTATTATGCTAACCCAAAGAAAGCATACCTAAAGTGATTTTTGTCTGTTTCCTCTGCCAGCACACAGAGACTTTGAATATTGTGTTTGTAACCTACTTCAGAATACTGAAGAAAGCCCAGAGATCACCTCTCCTGCCAGCAGTTCTAGAAGGTCTTGCCAAGTAAGGGCTGTGTAGGTTGAAACTTAGATTCGTTCTAAATATGGAGGCCAAAGTAACCATGAATTTTGAAGAGAGCCCCATGATGACATCCCAGTGTCTCAGTTTTCCTTTCTGCCTTTCCTTGAAACTTCTTAACGGTGAACTTACCTTTTATTTTTAGGATCTCCTTCACTAACCCCTTTTTGCTATTCCTAAGCTTCACTCTCATTCTTGCTTCTTTTTGCACTGCGTGTAGTCAGTTATCTACCAACATAGTTTGGGTAGATCATGCACATGACTGAAGTCTATTTTAACCCAGCTTGCAGGTCATTTCTCTAGACATTGAGCTCTGTTCTTGCTAAAATACATCTTTTTGCATATCCTGTCAACACTAATGGTGAATGTGATCTGGAATAATAGTTGTCCATTATTAGATTTGAGGTAGTGTCCTCTTCTCATTGCTGTCCAATAGAAATATAATGTAAATTACATATGCAATTTAAAACTTTGTTAGCCACATTTGAAAGGTAAGAAGATACAGGTGAATTAATTTTAATGTATTGGACTTGACTTACCTAAAATATTATTTTAATTTCATTATTAAGCTTTAGTGAGATTTGGTATCCTTTTTAAAAATATAACATGTCTTTGAAAATTGGTATATATTTTACACTAACCATACATCTCATTTGGAGTAGTTATATTTCAAGGCTTAATAGCCACATGTAGCTGGTGGCTACCATTATTGGACAGCACAGCTTTAGAAATGGAGTTATTCCAGAGACTAATCTTTGGAAGATGTAAGTCCAGTTCATTATAAGAGATTACTTTCTAATGACCAAAGCTGTTTGGCAGTGGCATGGATTTTCTTATCATTGACGATCTTCAAAGAAAGGCTGATCGGAGATGGGATTATTTCCTTCTCTGCATGAGACTTGTTTGTTGTTTTCATGGCCAGTTCCCTTATTTTACCTACCTTTCTTCACACAAATAGAATATGCTATGTATATGTTCTGTATATATATTCTCTATATAGTGTGGTGGTTAGTTTAGGTATTTTTCTATGTTAGCACATATAGATCACTTAATTTTTTAAGTTCATAATACTCCATTATGAATATCATTATGTTTTTCTTTTTTTGCAGTACTAGGATTTGAACTCAGGACCTTTACCTTGAGCACTCCACCAGCCCTATTTTTGTGATGGTTTTTTTTGAGATAGTCTCACAAACTATTTACTCAGGTTGGCTTTGAACCGTGATCTCCTTATCTCTTCCTCCTGATTAGCTAGAATTACAGGCATGAGCTACCAGCACCCAGCTGGATATCACTACTTAATTGGTCATTCCCTTGTGTTACACTAGCAGTGCTTGTGTAATATCTTCATGCACTTATGTGGCTGATCAGATATGCTCATTTTAAATTCTGATAAATAATGCTAGATTGCTTCCCACAAAAGTGGTAGCAGTATACATGGAATAATACATCACTTCTAAGGTATCACCTCTATGGTCTTTCCTTGGGCTAAGATTTACATAGTGTCAAAACTCTTAGTAATATTAAAGCATGATCCTTATTTTAACTTACTTCAGTGCCTAACATTTTATAGTATACACAGTACTCTCACATTTTAGTAGCTCATGTCATTTGATGGTCTCAGTTGTTTCTAGAAACAGAGGTTCAGGACAATCAAGTGACTTGTGTAGGAGCACATAGGTAGTTGTTAGTAGATCCTTAAATTGACACCAGGTCCAATATTCTTTCCATTTTTATTTTTAAAGATGTCATAATGTCCATATTCTCTATTTTTAGTACAGGGGATTAAATTGTTGGCCTTGCACATGTGCCATTGAGCTACACCCCCTGCCCCAGGTCTATATTGTTACAAATTACAGAATCTTCTTTCACTCTTCCCTGCGACCTGTTTTCTTAGAAGCTGATTCTGCTGGCTGCTTGATGACTCAAGACTGCTGCTAGAAACCTAGTAAACTTTTCTCAGGGAAATTCTTTGCTCTAGGCAATTTCTTTCTTAGGCCAGTATTTTGAACATATTTAAAATCTGTTTAGTGTCTCATATAGTCCTACCAGTATGTTCAGTATGGTGTAAATTATTAAAAAGCCAATCAGAATCAATAAAATTTATCAACAGTCATTGCCATCATAGCTAACATTTTGAAATAAAGAATATTAAGAGCAGTTTTAAAGTGAAGCTTAATTTTACCTGCTTTATTTCTGCTTTTAGATTACCTATTAACAAAGTTTTGTTTGATTCTAGGTTTGCTCATCTTATAAATGTGGAGTTTTTTGATGATTTATTAGTAGTTCTTCATACTCTGATTGAGTCTGGTGTAAGTAAGTATTAATGGATTATGTTTTAAAGATATAAATGGTAATTATCATTTTTAATATCTTTATTTTTGTTTTTTAAGGACCTAAGCTATGAAGAAAGCCTTCACTGTGTCCAGACTGCTTTTCATATTCTTTCCGGACAAGGTAAGATTTTTTGTTGTTGTTCTGGTACTGGGTTTGAACTCAGGGCCTTATACTTGATGACACTTGCTAGGCAGGTGGTCTACCACTTGAGCCATGTCCCCAGCCCCAAGATATTTTCTTAAGTTTTTTTGGCTTTGTAGTTGAAGGCTATAACTTTAATCTATGTTTGTTTTCATTGGAAAGGTGATGTTCTTAATATTGATCCAATGAAGTTCTATACACACCTGTACAAAACACTGTTCAAGCTACATGCAGGTATGTATGTTTAAGTAATGTTTCCATAATACATATTTGTTAACTTCTAAGACTATAGCCACAATTATAGTCAATGAGAAATAGAAACTGGTACATAAAATGGGGGCCTGCCAGTACCATGCTTCTGTATTTAACCTTATGTAAGACTTGGAGAGAGAGAACTTTTGGAACTGACTGAAAATGCAGTAAATACAGCTCACTGCATCTCTTAGGAGTATGTCACTATTATATTGCTTAGAAAAATGGTTTGGGACAGGTATGACATTTCATCTTGTTTTTCTCTGGAGTTCAAGGAAATTGCATAATGAAAATATGAGAACAGCTTTGAAGGATATATTTGGTGTTTTAGGTGCTACCAATGAAGGTGTTGAGATTGCACTTCAGTGCCTTGATGTCATGCTAACCAAGCGCAGAAAGCAAGTTTCTCAGCAACGAGCCCTTGCCTTCATCAAGCGCCTTTGTACACTTGCTCTTCAAGTTCTTCCAAATTCAAGTATTGGCATTTTAGCAACTACCAGAATATTAATGCATGTAAGTAGTAATACAAATAAAGAGATCTAAGTTCTTATATTGTGTAGTCAAGTTCAAGACTGGCATTTTGCTTATTTGATGTGTCTTCCCCTTTTATGTTATCATTTTAACTACTAAAGTTATTCACAGCTAGGTGTGGTGACACATGTCTATAGTCCCAACTATTAAAATTGCTTGAGCCCAGGAGTTTAAGGCCAGCTTGGACAACACAGTGACAAACCCATTTTCCTTAAAAAGAAAAAAGAAATATAATTTACATTTGTAACAAAATCAGGTGACAAAAGAAGTATGTAAGATTACAAAAGAAAGCATTCTCATTCTACTGACACTTCTTGGAGGTAACCATTTTTACCATTTGGTGGGAATCTTTCCTGTAGACTTCTTTTTTTTTAATTCATGTGTAAGTGTATGCATCACAAACATCACAAGGTTTTTTTTTAATGGAAAACAGGTAAGGGGATTATGCTATACACTACTTTTTTTAGTAAATTTTTTTATTAGGATATATTCATTATAGGGGGTGATTCATTATGACACTTCCAGTTAGACTGATATTGTACATTAGTTACATTATTAGTTACACTAGCCCATCTTCCCCCTCAACCCTTTCCCCATCCCACTTCAAGCAATTGCAAGAGGTTTCTTTGTTCTGTTTCATATAGGTATGTGAAGTCCATCTACCTTATACCATCACCTTAATCTCCTTCCTTCACTCTCCCTCCTCCCCCAACTCTACCTATTTACAGTCCTGTTTTTTGTTATTAATATTTAAATTGATGTCTCAATGCATCCCCACTGTATACTTTACTTTGGTTCATTCAAGCTCTTCCATTACTCTCCCTTATCCCATTACCTCCTATCCCCCATTTTTCAACAGCTTTCAGTACACATCCTTATATCCTCTACCTTCACATCTTACGCGAAATTACTGATGCTCTGTCATTCTCTTCTACTTTCCCTCTTTCCATGGAGTAGTTCCACTGTTAGAGACATGTTCTAGACCTGAATTTGTATATGATCATGCTTGTTTTTGTGTATATGTTTATCTTTTGGATTTATTTTCCACGTATGAGAGAAATCATGCAGCCTTTGAGTTTCTGAGTCTGGCTTATGTCATACACTATTTTTTTTTTTTAAACGTTTACTGGTAGTGGATACATATGGCAGTACAAATATCATTACTTTCTCTTTTTGTCTCTCTGTCTCTCTCTGTATCTGTCTATCTAATCTATTTGATTTTTTTTTGTTTTTGTGGTTCTATGGATTGAAACCAGGGCCTCATGCATACCAGGCAAGCAATCTACCATTTGAGCTATACCCCCAGCCTTTTTTATTTTTATTTTGTTTTTCAGATAGGGTCTTGCTACCTTTGCTCAGGTCAGAAACTTGAGATCCTCCTCCCTCTGCCTCCCGAGTAGCTATTATTTTGGGCATGCGCTTACCACAGCTGGCCCTACTTTATCTCTTTAATGATTAAGGTTTATTTAGTTCTTTGTTGAACAAATACTTACTCAGTTCTTACTATATGCCTGTACTGTTATAAATGCTTTATAAACATTGACTCAATTTTTATAACTGAGGTAGCTACTCTTATTTTTCCCATTTTACAGATGGGAAAACATCTAGAGAGGGTAACTTGCCTAAAGTGACACTGTTAGTAAGTAGTAGAAGTGGAACTCAAATTAGGTAGTCTCATTTTGTGCTCCTTTATTCTCTTGGTAGATATAGGTTTTTATTATTGCTATTTCAAGTGATTCTGTAGTGGATGTCTTTATACATGTATTTATATAAGAAAGATTTCTAAAACTGAGATTGCAAGGTGGAAAAAATAGTCTGTTTTCTTTTGTAAGACAGAATAAATTCAAAACATTTTTTTCTCCTAATATAAAGTTGAGTTTTGTCTCATTAAAACTAGGTATAATGACTTTATGCTTAGCCCTTAACTATAACCATAAATGTAAATGAAATACAACTATAGACCAGTAACATTCTTTAAGTTAGTGCCATTAATTCAATTAATGCTTTTTTATGTGATATTTTTGCAGACTTTCCCAAAAACAGACCTGTTGCTTGACAATGAATCTCAGGGAAGTGGTGTTTTCCTCCCTGAGCTGGATGAACCCGAGTACTGTAATGCGCAGAACACTGCTTTGTGGGAATTGCACATGCTGCGGGTAAGAGCAGCCCTATGAATTTTGTGTGTGTGAGCAGTAATTTTTCATAATATAATTTGCTATAGGATTCCTTTTTTAGAATTCCTATTTAGTATTGTTACATTTTACTTCATTCTTAATATTCTTTAAGTTGTTGAGGTACAGTTTCTAAGGTAGCAAAAAGTGACAGTTTTGTGAGGTGAGGTTACGAGAGACTTATGGAAATCTTTCCTAACACTATTTGGAATATAAAGAGGGTTTGTTATCCAGGTACACTGTGTTGGATCCTATCCAAGGAGACTTCAGTATTCTCATTGCAAATTGGTTTCCCCTGTGTCCTACAGTGTCCATTGCCCTACAGGGTGGAAAGCATTAGAGTGAGCCTTGTAGAAAATAGGAGTATCAGGGGATCTGTTGTTAATTTTTTCACTCAGAAATACAAACTGCATTTTGATTTTTCTTTTCATACTGTAAAGCAAGACTAAGCTTTGTTACTGGTAACTTGGTCATCAAAGCAAAGGTAACATTAAAGCAAAGATAATACTCTTTCTGGAGGTATATGATTCCAGTGAATTACATACACATATATAGTGTCTTTTAAAAATTGGTGTAATTTTATTAAAGAAAGCCTTTGTTGTAGTTACTGTTTTCTGAAGTACTAACCTGTGCAAAATGTGGTTGTCCTATTTCCTCTTCAGAGACATTATCATCCCATAGTGCAGAGATTTGCAGCTCACCTGATCGCTGGAGCACCTTCTGAAGGCTCTGAAGCACTCAAACCAGAGTTGAGCCGGCGGTAGTATTTAGTATTGCCTTAATTTTTTTTAAAAATTTTATGGGTTTTTTTTGGGGGGGGGATGGGGGTGGGTAATGGTGCTGGGATTGAACCCAGAGCATTGCCTCATTCTAAAACTACAAAATTCAGGTTCTGGAGATAGAGCTTTATAACTCAGTGGTAACATGCTTACCAAACCTAGCATGTACATGGTCCTGAGTTTGATCCCCAGCATAGGAATACAGCTGTACCAAATTCAACTTTGAGAAATTTGTTTTGTATAGTAGTAGATTATAAAATGTAAAGTGAAAGTGGGTATCTAGATTTAGTCTCACTTTGTATTCCTGAATTGCTCTATAAAGAAAACATACAGGCTATAATTTTATTGTTTGTTTTGGGTAACACACACACACACACACACACACACAGAAGCTTCTTTCCTCCAACTTTTTTTGAAAACTTTCAAAAGTTGAGAATGTGGTGATTAACCTTTATTTCCACAAAATTATGAAATAACTTCATTTGTACAGTAAAGGAGAAACATGGTAGATACTCTTGTGTCTTAGTCCATTTGTGCTGCTATTGAAAAAGAAAAGTGCCTGAGTCTGGGCAGTTTATAAAGAATAGAAATTTATTTTCTCATAATTCTAAAGACTTCAAAGTCCATGATCTAAAGATTGTGTGGTGAGGGGTGCTCTCTGCTTGTTGCTGTACCCTCTAGAGGGGAGGAATTCTCTGTCCTCCATGGCAGAAGGTGGAAGGGCAAGCAAGCAAAACACTTGTAGAATCTTCTTAATTGCATCTAGGAGGGAGGAGCTTTCATGACCTACTCATCTCTCAACTGGCTCTGTCTCTTGATATCACATTGGCCATTAAGTTTCAATACCCGAATTTGGAGGGGATAAATTCAGACCACACCTGACAATGTACCCAGCACCCTGAATTAACATTTTGCTGCTTGCTGTAGGTTTTCTGCCTTGTAACCCATTGATTTTTTAAATTTAGAGATCACATGTGACCTGTGTCCTAGACTTTTCAGGGTTTGAACAAAAATTGAATTAGCTGCTATTTTTTAATTATTGGAAGAATTTCCCTAAAATTTACTTTACCTTCTCTTGGAATACTAGATTTAGTGATTCTGGCCTATTTATATGGCAATATAGACTACTATATTTATATTTATGTAGCAATATGACTGCTTTTGCCTCCTCTAAATGAGGATGAGCTGCAGTTTTCCATAAATGCTTTTCCTAAACGTTTTTCCTCTGGGGGGAATAGAGATAAGGCCTTACTAAAAACAAAATGGCCATTTACTTTTTCCTTCCCTTGTACTTCTCAAGAGACCCCCATCTCTACAACCCCAGCCTTATGTTTTAAAAGGGAGAAAAACGAGAAAATTCTTTGTCGTTCTTTTAATTAATGATCCTCAACATTTGCCTCTTTTGTGCCAGTTTTCCTTTCCTGGAGGAAGATGAGGAATGAATTTATCCCAAAGACTTGCCAAGAGAGATCATAGTGTTCTTTTCCTGGAGGAGGTTGGAGTGTGAGCCCAATCACAGCCTTTGCCTATCTCTTTTAGAGAATATGAACTAACCCTAGATCATTAAGGATTCACTTATATGCTATGGCTACAGACATGTTCTCTGTCTTGAATGTCCTGTCCTTTTTCATCCAGGCCAATAGCTGAAGAGTTGAGTGAAGTTTGAAGTCCATGGATGATAACTCCATGCATTACTCCTTTGGCTCCAGTGACAGACTTAGTTGTTTATGATTCATGTAACTGTGGTTGAGTTGGGATTTGGTCACCCAGAACAGGATGTCTTTTGCTTAGCTTTCTCAAGGACTCAAGGACTGCATTTCTAAGTGTATACTAGATTTTTTTGAGATGGATGTAGTTGAGTAATTTTGACATTACAGGGGAATTTAGGATTTATTTCAAGTGAGTGGGTTACTTCATTGGTTGGTTTTATTCTTTGGGTATAATCTAATTATTTTAAATTCAACAGATTTGATAGTATCTCTACATTTCTACTTGTGATTATAGATCTGCAGTTGAACTTTTTGAGATTTACAGCATGGCAGCAATGACATTCAGTCCTCCTGTTGAATCTTCAAACTCCAAAAAGAAGGTATGTGATACTTCTCATTTTTTAAAAGAATAAAATACTGAACTAATGTGTCTCAGTAACTCTCCAACTTGCTTAATTGTTTCATAGGTAGTTACTTTCATGTTTGTGTTAATAGTAGGATGGATGTTTGAGGTTGAAATTCAGTGGAGATAGTAAGACTGCTTAACTCACTATATGTCCAAGACTTGACTTAGCATCTCTCATTATCATAGTTCACGGGTTGGTGTTAGCTATTGCCATTTTCAGTTTTGTTAGCTTAGCTTTTACTAATGGTATAATTTTAACTTTTTTCCAGGATAAAATTTTACAAGGGGACTCATTTTTGAATGAAGATTTAAACCAGCTAATCAAAAGACATTGCAATGAAGTTGCTACTCACTCACCCCTAGATTTCACCAAATATTTGAAAACTTCACTACGGTAGTGCAGAAATGATGAAGAATCAGTGGACTTTCATTTTGTGTGTGTGTGTGTGTGTAGGTTCACATACCGATGTTAAATTAGGACTTTTTCTTATTATACAAGGAAAACTTCTTACAAAGGATTAGTCCTTTGCGTGGCATAGGACTGTGCCCCAATTTTGAAAATGTCATTTCGTTAAGAAAAGTGAATTGGAAGTCTTTGTCTTCCTAGTTATTTGGATGTTTCTTTTTAATGATGGTGCCTTTTTAAAAAAATTTAATATACATATTAAGTTACAATTTAAAAAAAAAGTCTTTGGGGAGGTTGGGTGTGGTGGTGTCCTACCATAATCCCAGCAACTTGGAAGGTGGAGGCAGAGGATCAGACATTCAGTGACAGCCTGGGCTACAGAGTGAGCCTCTGTCTCAAAAAACTCAAAAGAAAAAATCTTTCTGGGTTGAGATATGCCAAGCATGCACATGGCTCTGAGTTTGAATACTAGCACCACACGTACACCAAAAACATTTGGGCTAGACCTTAGTGAAATGTAGTTGCTATATTTAAATTAGAGCACTGAACATAGAAAAATCAAGATGGAGAATGCTTTTTAACATTTAGCTACTCTGTACAACTAAATATTCTTTAAAAACCAAATAAATATAATTCTTATTACAATACCATGGGTGGAAATGAGGAACAACCTAAATTTGAGTAAAGTATGTATTTTCTGAAGATTTTTGAGAAAAGAAAAATAGCCCGAAGCTGGTGCCAGTGGCTCATGCCTGTAATCCTAGCTACTCAGGAGGCAGCGATCAGGAGGATCACGGTTCAAAGCCATTCCAGGGAAATAATTTGCAAGACCGTATCTCAAAAAAAACCCCGTTGGCACACAACAAGGGCTGGTGGAGTGGCTCAAGGTTTAAGCCCTGAGATGAAGTGCCAGTACTCCTTAAAAAAAAAAAAAAAATAGACTCATGTTCATTGGCTTTTGTTAAATAATACACCTCAAGAAGTGACTTAATTTGACCTTTTAAAAAAACAGTGATTGTTTATATGGCTACTTTCAAAGAATGGATTCCCTTCCCTGCCTGTGGGCAGTACTGGGGTTTGAACTCAGGACCTCACATGCTAGGCAGGCGCTCTACCACTTGAGCCACTCCACCAGCCTGTATGGCTACTTTCAAAGAAATTTTGAATGTGATTATAGTATCTTTGAAGTTCTGTGTATTTTCTTACTTGCTGTGGAAAGTGATGGGGGAAGAACTGCTAGGGGTGGGGCAGGACAAGTCCAAGACTCTGCAATTCTATTTTAAGGATATATGTACTTTTAAAATTTTTATTTTATACCTACAGTTAAGGTACATATACTTACGAATATAATTGTAAAGCAATATTTTATATAACAGCTATTGCCATATTCTAAGAATGAAGTCTCTGTATAAATATTTTCTGCTGTTAATAGTTGACTAAGATAGATGCTTTCATTGCTTCTTGTGAGAATTTTTTAAAAAAATGGACAGCAGACCAGCTAAATAGATCTCTGTTGCTTCGGAGCCATAGACTTCAGTCATTCAGTCTGGCGCTTTAAAGCTCTTTTCTTGTGAAATAACTGAAAACAGAAAATTCCTTTATCATTCCAGCAGAGGAGAGTGTGGATAACAGCTTAACCATGTGTATGTTTCAACATATTCTTGTATGTGATTTTTTAAAAGTATTTTTGAGGTCACATTTTTAAGACTTGTTGGTTAATGATGAAAAAGATATGGCTTAGCATATAATATTTGTAACCCACCATTTAAGCATAAAACACAGTCCAAGAATATTTCAATGTGTCGGATAACCAAAGAGTCTATCCCTGTCAGAGCACAAATGACCAATGCATGTCACAAATCATTTATTTTCCAAAATACACAAATACATTTATACTTAGCTTTGGCAGCAAAAACTGTAGCTTAGGTGAAAAATCCATTTTAAAATAGAAGTTCATCAGGTTTTCATCCTTCTGTTACGCTTTTAACTGACTTGTTATATATGTGATTATAGTGGGGCCATAAAATTAAAAATCTAGTATTTGAATATTCTGTATTTTGAGGATGAAATATGTTTGTGCATTAGCTTACATAACCCTATGTTAATGAATTTAATTTTCAGAGCTAAATGTTATAGTCGTTAGTAATCATAAATGCACATACACATACCCTGAGGCTATAAGCTATAGCCTTAACTTTTTTTAAACTAGATGAACACTGAGCACCTAGTATGTGCTTAACACTATGCTAGGCATTTAAAAGTGAGTGGGCTAATGGGTGTAAGACAGCCTTAGTTTTCCATGACCTTTGATGCTGAGTCTTCAGCACACTTTTTAAAAATGCAGCATTACCAAATTCAGAATAGCATGAGTTGTTTTAAATTTCAAAGAGGAAGTCATCTGAAATGAGGATGGTGTCACTGTTTGATGGCAGGCTTGAGCATACTATGTTTTGAATCTAAGAGACCTGGAAAAACAGCTTAGTAATCATGGAGATTCAGTATGCATTTCAAAAATACTCATTTTCTGGTATTCCTGTGTTAGAATCCTTAGCCATCAGTTAAGGATTGGTTTAGAAGGTGTTACATAGAGATGGTAGAGAACACATAAATTAGCAGTGGATTATGGGAATGAGAAAGGTCTGAACTTTTGTCTAAGGGGTAGCCTTTCTTTTTGATAACTTTTGTATTCACCTTTTCTGGCCTCAGTGCTGATGTGCGAGAAGCAACAGAAAAGAAGTATAGACTGCCATCTTGAGAATACTTTCTCTGGGGCCACCTTTTCCTCTGCCAAATATAAGTTCAAAGACACCATTTGGGTTGTGGAGCTTTGTATTTTAGAGTTAAGTCAATTTTACTGGACTAGTAAGCAAGCTCTGATTCCTTTTCAGAATTAAGTAAGATCTGTGGTATCTGAGCAAGGAGAGAGATTATAACAGGAGAGAACAGAGGCAAGGAAAGATGAGTTAAAAAAAAGGAAATTGGTACATAACATACTGGGCCCACATTCACTCATGAGCCATCACGGTGGGACGCCTTTATGGAAACAGGTTTGATTAAAAGCAAGGCACGAATAACTCCACTGTTGTTGAATCCATACTCCATATATATCTTCAACTGCAGAATTATTTATAAATAACTTGTATTTGCTAAGGATGACATGTGAAGAAACCTTACCTCATGAGGGTATTTTCTGTCTTTACCACCTACAGATTTATCTCCAGCTATCCCTAATTCCTTAATACCCTCTAGTACTCTTACCTTGTGAAATGTTCAGTTCCAAATGAACTGAGAGAAAGATAGTTTCTGTTCCTTTGAACATCACATAGCACACTGGATTCTTGCTCTAATCCTTTATTGCTAGATCTAGAAAAAAAAAAAGTTGGACCATCCAACAATTCATACTCCTTTAGTTAAGCTTTTAAAAATGCTGTAATAAAATCAGTTTGCATATTTAGATTCTTTTCCATGTCAATTTTACTGATAAAATTTTGCTATCCAGATTTCTTACAAGCTAAAAATTATAAAGTCATAGTGAGTGGAATTCTAGTGGTTATTTTAGATATATTCTTTACTTAGATTACTTTAGGATTAGGTCCTTCATTTGAATATTGATACAGCTGTATAATTCAGATAAGCATTAAATAAAGATTTAGTATTTTTGGCAAACACCAGGTTGTATAATAATGCAGTCATACCTCACAGCAATATTTTGGTCAATGATTTACTGCTGTATGGGATGTGAGAGTGATCCCATAGAGTTGTAATGGGACCAAAAAGTTCTTATTGCCTAGTGACATCATGGCCATTTTAGAGTTTGTGTCAGTACACTCTGATGTTCGCACAATGAAATTGCTTAAGTGAATTTCTCAGAATGCATCCCTATCATTAAGTGACATATTACTGTAGTAGACTATATTTTTATGTAGAGTATTGTTCCTAAAATCTCAAAGACTCAATTACAATAGAGCATGTACTTTAACCTCAAAATGTGATTCACAACCAAGTCGGGATGAAACAGCAATAAGCTGGATTCACATTCAGTCTTGGGTCTGTTTCAGGTTACCAAATCAACTATCTTAAAGACCATGGGAGTAGAGTGTATAGCTTAGCAAACATCAAAGTCAAATCATAAGCCTTGAGGGACAGTCTTGTTTTGCATGTCATTATTCTGCATTTTTCATTTTGACTTTAGTCATTTAGACCAGTAATTCAATTTTCAATCATGGGTAAGCCACACCACTTGACCTATTAGTTTATGAGGCTTGACAACATTTGTCACAGATTATTTGACTTAAAAGGAAACCTGTAGCACTGCACAAACTGTCAAACAGGAATAGGCTGAATTCTCTTGGTAAGAACTTACAATAACATGAAAGCTGGGTGGTGTATTTTTGACACTTACATTTCAGAATATGCAAAACAAATCACATGGGGATTGTTTCATTCGTTATAATTGGTAAAAGAAAGTCTCAAAGCAAAGGTTAGGAGTTTTAGTGTGTTTTATAATTTGAAGAAAAAGATATTAAAACTGAATGGACCAATATAAAGAAAAATTTGGGTTTACTTTAGATGAACACATTTCAATTTTAAAAGTTATAATTTGCTTTATACCAAGAATGAGAAAAATCCATTACACTTTTTTGATAGTTTTGTGTAGTAAGGTTTTAAGTATGACTTGGATCAGTAGCTCTAGTTAATCAGAAATGAAGATGAAGCTTTTTTACATGAAAGTCTAGCCCATTTTAGATGTTCAAAGCATTTTATTTTTTGGAGGTTTGTCTTCAAATAGTGGGATAGAACCATCCATGCTGCAAATCCATATTAATATCAAGAAAGCTATGACTAATAAATATATAAGTAAAGTGTCAGTACAAACCTTGCAAAATAAATAAATCTACCTTAAACACCAACTCTGTCTATTTTTACTCTTAAAAATGATTAGGTTTCTTATTAAGACATCACAACTCAGGACATTAAATTATACATCATTCTAAATTCAATTTGTGAAAACTAAAAATGGGATAATCTGTGAATATATGAGCAATAACCTTTTAAAAAACACCATTTCTATATGTAAAAAGAAATCCTGAAGAAGAGTGCACTATGATGCACAATGTAGGAACTAAGTTGAATCTTATGTTATAGGACATATTTACATTTGCAATGCCCAAAACCTTTTCCATTTTTTAGCCACAAAATGTATGTCTAGTTTTCTTGTTTTTCAGATCTCTGTTCGTCTTGTTCCCTGTTCTATAAGTTGGGTTGGCAAACTGGCAAACTCCTGCTTGCTATCTGTTTTTGTATGGTCCTAGAACTAAGAACAGTTTTTGTACTTTTAAGTGGTTGAAAAAAAATCAAAAGAATATTTGTGATATGGAAAGTTATGAAATTCCAATTTCAGTGTCCATAAATAAAGTTTTATTGGAGTACACATTCATTCATGTACCTATTGTCTAGGGCTGCTTTTGCTGTTTATAACAGCAGAACTGAGTAGTTGCAACAGAGACCATATGGCTTCAACTCTAAAATATTTACTCTCTGGCCTTTTACAGACAAATTTGCTGACCCTTCTTCTAAATCAGTTATTACAAGCTTAGTTCTTTTTTTTTTTTTTTACAACTTATGACAACTGTACAATGGCAAACCCCTGGGTTTCTTTGCATTGTTCCTCAGCAAATTGGTTGATAGCTAGCCCTGTGCCATTTTGCTTGTCATTAGCATGGATTTCATCCTGTGTGAAGAAGGCCGCAGATTAGAAGTTATCAATTTCCAGTTTAAACCTAATGAAAATAAATTATATTTCTTTCCACCATGTTCCTTCTTGACTTTTAACTTCTTGCCAAAAGATCTTCACCTGTATAACATTGGATACATAGCCTTATTAGTATATTGAAAATAAAGAAGCAGTAATATTTATAACTTAGCAAGATTCACAGCTCTGGTGGCTAGATTTGGGGGAGTCTATTTACTGTAATTCACAATACTAAAACATGAATGTTCCTACAAGGTAGAACATTAGGCTATTTCTGCCCTAGAACAGCAGAGTCTTTAGAGAAAAGAAGTTTTTATCACATTCACATAAATTGTTCAGCTTTAAGAAAACGTGGAAAGTATGCACTCTAACCACTTGAGCCACACCTCCAGTTCAAGAAAAGATGGAGTTTTTTCAACTATGTATTACTTCAGAAAGAACAAGATGAATATTCTTAAATTATTACTAGAAGTGGTAATTTTAGAATAAAAAACATGAAATAGTACGTCATTAAGAAAGTGGCAAAAATAGGGGCTGAAGGCATGGCTTTTAAAGTGGCAGAGTGCCTGCATAACAACCTTGAAACCCTGAGTTAAAACTCCAGTACTGCCAAAAAAAAAAAAAAAAGCAAAATACTAAACTTGCTTTCTTACGAGCACATAAATTCCCTCCTCTTTTTTTTTTTTTAAACAAGTGCTCTTAGAAACATCGTAAAGAAAATCATGATGTGGGATGTAAATTCACATAGTTGCACCAATGCCTATTTTTAAAGAAAAGCTTTTCTAACTTCTAGCAAAGCTCTAAAGACAGGTACATGCTTCTAAATGTCTGCTTGCTAGGGGAAAATTGAATCCGAAGGCAATCATCTAAATCATTGTCACTTTACTCCACTTTCCTAAAATACAAGTAAATTAGTAATGCTCACCATAGTACACATAGTAGTTTAAAGGCAAATAGTGGAGTTGTATCCATAATGTACTCAAAACAGTTTTAGAGTACACAGAGGGCTGCTTAAATGTAGAATAGTACATGTATAACAAATTTCAAGTCTTAGTGTGTAGTTTCACTCTTACAGAAATCACAATATAGATGTGATGTAACATCACCCCTGTAATTTATTTCATGCTAAGTTTTGAATGTGGAAACTTTAAATTTTTTTATCCCTGTTCTTAGTGTCATGCTCACACCTACTACCATATGAGTCCATTTTTAAAAGTTGGAGAGGCTCAACATTGGCGTTTAATCCTAAAGCTCACTTGGCTTTTGAATGACGCAGATTGTCTCAAAGAAAGTAAATCAGAAAAAGAAAGTTGAACTTTGGAAGCTACATTATTCCATGAATAATAGTCATTGTTAACCTGATGCTACGTTGTGTGGTTTGTTGCCATAGCTGTGAGATTACTTTCTGGTAATTCTTTCAACAACTCTGAACCTCTTAGAATAGATGGATATGCAGACACTTTGGAGAGGGTGGTTTCCTTGGCCTTGTCTGTTATTTTGTAAAAACCTAGCAAGTGTCATTTGGGGTACCAGTTATTTCAGGAGATGGTCCTTAAACATATAAGCGTGTCTCAATATATTGAGCCGTTAGAAATCAAGTTTGGCTTAGTCAAGTATCAAGTGAGTAGACTGGTGGCATACACTTGCAATTACAGTTACTCAGGAGGTGGAGGTGGGAGGATTGTGAATTCCAGGTTAGCCTGGGCAAAGGCAGCAAGATCCTATCTGAACAGCAAAATAAAAACTGAACTGGGCATAGCTCAAGTAGTAGAGTAATTGCCTAACATTTGTGGAGCCTTGGGTTTAATCCCCAGAACTGGAAAAAAAAAAAAAAAGAAAGAAAAAAGGTATCAGTGAATTCTTTGTGAGCTTCTGCAGATTTGTACTTTTTTTTTTTTTTGTGGTACTGGGGTTTGAATTCAGGGCCTACACCTTGAGCCATTCTACCAGCCCTTTTTTGTAATGGGATTTTTCAAGATAGAGTCTCGCGAACTATTTGCCCATGCTGGCTTCGAACCTCGATCCTCCTGATCTCTGCCTCCTGAGTAGCTACAGGCCTGAGCCACAGGTGCCTAGCAGATTTGCACTTTGAAATTCCAGAGAGTGATAAAGACAGATGGTGAAGCTCTGTAATATTAACATCAATATCTTCACTATGCTATGTGTTTCTTGTGAATTTTAAATCTCAGAACTGCAACAGAACAAGTGAAAAGTGGGCCTTAATGATTCCTTATTCATGAAACTAAGAGCTGGGCGTGGTGGCAATTGCCTGTAGTCCCATGTACTTGGGAGGCTGACAGGAAGATTGAGCCCAGGGGTTTGAGGCCAGAGTGGGCAACATAACCTAAAAAAAACAATAAGTGAAAAGAAGGAACTTGGTTCCCTCACATGTTATTCAGGTTCTATATAAATCCACTGTAAAACAGAAAAAGTTTACTCTGTACATGAACACCAAACAGTGAGCTGGCAACTGACACCCTAAATTTACTTCTTTTTCTTTTTAACCATTGCATTTTGACATTCTGGATGCCAGAGTATTCTTTTTTTTTTTTTGTGGGACTGAGATTTGGACTTGGGGCTTTGCACTTACAAAACAGGCACTCTACTGCTTGAGCCACACATTCAGTACATTTTGCTCTGATTCTTTTGCCCATGGGGGTCTCAGGAACTATTTGCCAGAATTGACGGTGAGCCTCAATCCTCCTGATCTCAGCACCCAAATTGCTAGGATTACAGGTGTGAACACCAGCACCTGGCTCTAGAGTTTTATTTGTTTAATTGAGGCAGAAGGAGATGCTGAGGCTAAATCAAGCCTAAGCTGGAACAACATACAACTAAGAATCCAAAGGAATAAAAGCTGAATGATTCAGAGTCCTTGAAGGATGTCCATGTGAGGTGTTAATAATGAAGACAGTCCTTCCTGTATCTGATGAAATAACGCTGCTAGGGCACTTTGGGGAAGTTGGTTGCCCTCTTAGGGCCTTTGCTTAGTTATCTACAAATAAGATCTAAATGTTTTTGTGTATGTGGTTCTGGGAATATGGAACACAGGACCTTGTGAATGCTAGGGAAGCACTCTATCACTAAACTACATCCCCAAGCCTTTTTTTTTTTTTTTTTGAGACAGAATCTCACTATCCCAGGCTGTCCTAGAACTTGTAATCCTCTTGCCTCTGCCTCCCAGGTGATGATAGGGTGTACCACTACAACTGCTGGTCTAAAATTTTATTTAATTTTACTTAATTTTTGTGTGTGTGTGTGACTGGGGTTTGGCTTTACGCTCACAAAACAGGCTCTTATAATGCAGGCACCCTACCACTTGAGCCACACCTCCAGTTCGTTTTGCTGTGGTTATTTTGGAGATGGGATCTTGCAAACTATTTCCTTGGGTTGGACTCAAACTGTGATCCTGACCTCAGCCTCCCAAGTAGCTAGGATAACAGGTGTGAGTCACCAGCACCCGGCAAGTCTAAAAATTTTAAAGCTCAAGTTATATATGTATGTGTATATATGTATGTATGTGTGTATGTATATGTGTATGTGTGTGTGTGTATTTTTTTTCAGAGCCTTTGTCCTGTAACTATGCCTTACAAAGTAGTTTCAGCTGAGCCCTGTTTCAAAACGATGGAGTGACATGGTATACCTGTGTAAAGCATGCTGTCCTTGGTCACTGTCGATAATCCATTGTGTCACTGGAGGACAAGACTCCCACAGGTTTCTCCTCCTTGTTTTGGACACTTTCTGAGGCCATAAACTGAGGAGATGATATGAATCCTCGGGGCTGTTTAGTTGATTTGGTGAGCTTCTTGAGTTCACTTGCAAAAGAGATGCCTCTTCTTTTATCTTCACGGGATGCCTTTCAGGGGGGAAAAGAAACTTTCCTTTATGTTAGGTTAAACCCAGGACCCCGAGTCACATGCACAATGTCAGAGGGAGTGCTTTCCATTTTTCTCTCTGGGAAGAAGAGCTGAGGGACTCAAATCTCAGAACTTCTTAACCACACACAGGGGCATATTGTTTTGGTTTTTTCCCATACAGTAAAACCAAAACTAAACAGTCTCTCAGCTAAACTCCTTGGCTCAGGAACTTTCTATATCAAAGGATTTATGAACAAAGCAAAGTAACTTAAACTGTACCTGCACCTGCTCCTTTAGCTTAAGGATGAATTTTCCTGCACCTTTCCACTTGCTTTGGGCTTGAAACACACACTCCTGATCCAAAAGGACCCTCTGTGAGGACTTTGGGGTGGAAGACTTCTTGTTGGGTGTGTCTTTTACCACCTCTTCCAAAAGCACATAGTCACCTGGGTTGGGGTTGCTCAGGATGCTATAGGAATATTTGGCTTTGCATAAGGTCTGAAAGATAAGTTACAAGCAACTGAATAAAGTATCTCCAATATCAATCAAACTTGAAAGTGGAAAAGTGCACAGACTTTTAGAAATGGTCGGGATCTTCTGGATCATGTCATCCAGTGCTGCATTTTACACTTGTGTAGTTATTATAACATCTTTTCAAGTTACCTCATATAGCTTCCCAGTAGTCTACAGTTTAGATGAGGAAGCTTGAACTTACATAGGTTAAGCAGATTCCAAAGTATGCACAGCTAATACATAACAGAATAAAGACCAGATCCAGATTTTCTGTACACATCAAAACTCAGACATGAATGAAGGTCATGTAGCCAGAGAGGGGCAGAATTCTGTCCTCAGGAGCTTCTGTGTCCTAAAAGGCTGCCTCTGTCACACTCTTGGATATTGATGGAATTTTAGAGGTCACATGTTTTCTCTTTTTGTTTAGTACAAGAGTATTTTTCATTTATGCATTTATTCATCTATCAAATGGTTAGTCAGGGCTACAGTATCCCAGATACTGTGCTGTACTTTGAGAAGACAAATATATGCAAAAGAAATGAGATCTGAAATTAAGAGTTGATTAAGGAACTAATAACCAAATTATCACCCAATAGAAATAGCAAACACATTTAAGTAGTGTTTACTGTATACTAGGCATTGTACAAAACACTTTACATATATTTACTGACTTAATCTACACAATAGCCTTGTGAGGAAAGTACCATTATACTATGCCGAAGTTATCCATGTAGTAGCACAGTGGTGAGCCAGAGCCAACTGGAATGGCCTAGTGAAATCTGACACAGTAGAAGTATTTACCCAACAGAAATAAACTTGGGATTTTTTTTCCCCAAAGAACTAGTTTACCAGTGCCCAATACAAATGAGCTCTTGCTCAAGATCTCAGTGTAAGTAGAGCTGGGTTTGAACCTAGAGCAAGTTGGTCAAAGGTCTGTGCTCTTCACCATTGTGCTATGTCACTTCCCAAACAGGTGTTTAATGTATGCAAACTGTGAGGAACCTAGGAAGAAAGAAAGAGTTCTGTGAATTATGTAACCAAAGAACCTTGACCTAGAGGAGTGGAGAGGGTCAGAGTTGGCCTCCTGCTTGTCTTCTATGGATACTTGAGAGGTAGTGGCTCAGGCATTCTGGGACATGAAATTACCACTCTGAAGAATCACCTCCTCAATCCATTATTATCGGCCACACTCATGGTAGACACTAGTTATGTATCTGTTGAAGAAATGAACTAATGTTTCCTAGCCTTAAGAGGCATACTCTCCCTTTGCAGGTTTCTGCTGTTCTACAATTTCATTTATAGAATGAGCTGTCAGTGCATACATATCTGATTCACCCCAATAATTTATACTGACAGAAGGACTGAGTGAAGAAAGGAGAGCTTTTCTTGTGGTGCCAGGGATCAAACCTATGCATGCTGGGCACACACTCTGCCACTCTCCTGTCCCCAGGGAGAGGTTTTTACCTGCTGAATGACATCCTGTGCAGTGCTGACACGGGGTGCTTTGATGACCGTTCGCGGTTGTTCTGGAGAAACATCGTGCACATGTACAAAGAAACTCTCCTCTTCCGAGCTCAAGTTCACCTCTCTGTCATCCTGAACAATGCTTTTTTCTTCTAAGGTCTATATTAAAAAAGGAAAATGTATGAGTAAATGATAAGGTGATACAGAAGAAAGAAAAATCTAGCAAAAATTTGAGCTGTATCTTGGTAATGTGGAAACAACTTTTTAGTTTTATCTTTCATATGTTAGTATTTCTATACTATTCTACAAAAATATATTTGTCTTCTGAAAGGAAGAAAGTATTGTATTTCTGCTGTTTTACACATCCATAAGGTCTGGCCCAGAATAAGCCAGTTATCTGCTACTATTAACAATGGATTTTGAGAGTACAACTTAGCTATAGATAAATTTGTAGAAAGAAAATATGCCATTTTGAGAAAGAAAAGGATGGGGACATAGCTCAAGTGGTAGAGCACCTGCCTACCAAGTATGAGACCCTGAGTTCAAAATTCAAGTACCACCAAAAAAAAAAAAAAGAAAAAAGCCATTTTGCCAATTACCAAAAGCCAAATAAGAACATAATGAATTGTATTTAAGAGAAACCCATTCTTGCATAGACCTTTGAGCATTTAGGAAATGCTAGACATCTGAAATGTGGAATTGACACTCAGTTAAGCAGGATAAACAAAATCCACAGTGAAAAGGAGGAAAACAGCAGCTGGAGGTAAGCCACATTGCAATGAATGCGGACAGAATTCTCAACAATTAGAATTCTTAACAATTTTAGCAAATTGTCTTTCAGAAGCCAATTTTTCTATCTATCTACAGATATATGTACCTTATTAACTTTTTTCCAACAATATAGAATCACAATAAAAAAGCAAACCTTTCCCTCTTTTTTTCCCCCACCTCACTCTCAGGAAAAAAAAAAAAAATCCAAAACAAAAACTCACTGTTTTTAGGTTATATGTCCTTCTAACCATTTGTCATGGTTACACAAATGTATTTTCCTATATGTGAACAAATATACACAACAAAACCCAGGACTTATGTAAGTATGGATACACTGTGATGGTCAAATGGCTTTTGTCCTTTTTAGCCCCATTCTCAAATGAGAGCAGCTTAAATTAGGGACATAATGGGGAGGAAAGGCAGAGCAATACAGACTAGGCAACCTACCTTCAGGAGTGAGAACTGTGCAAGAAGAACTATTCCCAGCATTCTTCTAGCCTATTTTCCCTAGGCCAGGATACTGAAATAATGCTAATTAACTGGAAGAATCCAATAATTGCTGTCACTGTGTTGGAAGTTCCAGCCAGCCACCTGACCCAGATTTGTCCCTATTGATATGAAAGTCAGAATGGAAAACTGCCACCAGGTGGTACCAGACTGTAACTAGGACCATAAAGGACAGGCTCCTGGAGCTTGCCAGCCAGTCACAGACCTGTCCCAATCATTTCATTAAACATGCACACATTGCTCTGTAATTTACATGATTAGATTTTTTGGACCTTACTCATTCTGTGATGGTAGGGGTAGTGGAGAAAAGTTATTGTCTATTTTTCTTACATAAAGTGGGATTGTACCTTCCTGCACATACCATCCTACAGCTTAAAAGACTGCTCACCATTCATGTCCATTCTTACTGCATATTAGGATGGTGACTGCAAATATGTCATCATGTTGATCATTATGTATTTAAACAGTCAGAGGGTGAAGTTGGGGGTAATTCATATGATAGAATTAGATCTCAGTATCCCAAAACCAGGAAGCAAGAGCTAAGGAAAAAACAAAGCCAAAAAAAAAGTTCTAAGTTGCCATACAAAATGTCTCAGCAACAATGCATCATTTAAAAAGGGCTCTTTGGAGCTTCACTCAGAGTTTATTTACTTTTAAGAGTTTGCAGCCACATAAGAAGCCACAGGGAATGAGCAGAAGATAATAAACATAGCTCTTTTTCATTAGGATTTCTTCTACATATTGCCTGTGTGTTTGACTTGAGCCTCATGATAATTTTTTTTAGTCAAATATGGTAGTTTCTATTGCAGATTTTACAAATTAGGGCACTGAGGTTTACAGGATCACTATAAGGATCACAGAAGTTAGGTGATCTGTTCAGAATTACCTAATTTGTAGCAGAGCCCAGGTTTGTCTGATTTCAAATCCAGGAGCAGTCAGAGGACACACTGACCACAAGAAGACGTGGTACCTAACAGTTCAACTGCCCAGGAGACCAGAAAAATATAACAGGCAGGCAAGAGATTTTCAAGGTCATAGACAGCATATTGGGGAACTTTTAATATACTATATGGGCAAATTGCTTATCTACCTTACTAGTTCCACAGGATAAACTAAAATGGAAATACTTACATTCCAAATCTATCAACTATGGTAGTGGCTTCTTGCATTCAATAATTAAATCACTCAAGTGATTTATTCAAACTAATTTTTTTGGGGGGGTAGAATAGGTATTGAACCCAGGGTCTTGGGCATACTAAGCATTTGCTCTACCACTAAACTATACCACCAGCCTTCAATAAATAAATATGAGGTATCTCTATGCATCAGCTAAACCTAATCACTAAATATGAATTGCTGTCTTTTGAGATATATTTAAAAAAAGTTCCCCCCCCCAAAAAAGGTGTATGGAGAAGAACTTGTTGTAGACTACCCATCAGAAAAAGCTTGTCAGAATTCCCTTCCAGTTTATTACCCCTTGTTTTCAAAATGCTTATCTTCTACCAGCCTTTAGTAAGCATCTATTCCTGAGGTCTTTACTGCCTGATGTGACCATAATGGCATCCCTAACTTTCCCAATCCTTTTAACCATATAATGAAGTTCCTTTGGGACACTCAGCAGCTTGCTCATCTTTCCTCCTACTCACTTCCTTGTGAATAATCCACAAGGACTAACACAATTCCAGCCTCGGCTGCATAAGATGGCAAAAAGAACACAAATCGAAACTGTAAGACTGGAGTTCTTTCTATTCTGACTCTGTCATGATTTTAACCCCTCTCAAACTCAGTTTTCCTATATGTAAAATGGTTTCCATTACATCATGAGATCATTCAAAACAGCAGGTGTGTGAGACTTTTCAACTCTGTAAATGATTATGCAATATATGTTTGAAATTTTTATTCACTGACATTGTCAGAGATACTTTTTAACAGGTAATTAATTAATGAAGTAAGACAGTTAAAAATGGGAAAAATTTAGATATTAAAAATGGCTTCAAAAGTCCATCTGAGCCAGGTATGGTGGCTCATGCTGGTAATACCAGCTGCTTGGGAAGCCATAATTAGGAGGAACATGGTCAGAGGCTGATCCTGGGCAAAAATGGGAGACCCTATCTGAAAAATAATGAAAGCAAAAAAAGAGCTGGAGACATGGCTCAAATGGTAGGGCACCTGCAGAGTTCAAATCCTAGTACCACCCCACCAAAAAAAAGTCCATCTGGGCCACCTGACATTTTCTCATAAAGCATTATCACGAGAACTGCTTATTCTCTGTCTTAGCAATTCATATGCCTGATAACCTGAAAGAGATTAGAGGCTGGGGAGACAATTAAATTTCTTTTTATGGTCTGAGGCAAGATTAGGGAAGGAAGGTGATGGCTTTGAGTTCCAGAGATGGTGGAGTTCTGTCAAGCTTACAGACCACATTCACAGTAATTAGAGTGAGAAAAAAGTAATTCATTCTAGTGAAAACTGGTGCTCTGTCATCTTCACTGTGTCTCAGTGAGCATGGACCACTGGTGGACATTTTACCAGTCGATCTCTATTTCATGACAGAAGGAATAGGCCAGGTGCCCAGAACAGTGCCTGCCATATATTAACACATAAATACATATATGTGTTTAATCAAATTGTTAAATTGTCTCAACTGCCTTGTTGTTGACATATCATGAAGTCTGAATGTCTACATCGGAGCAATTACTTTATATACCATTTTAAAACATGGCAGTAAAGTAGTGGGGTCTTATCAGTTTGTTCAGAAAAAGTGCTGTATAAAGAAAGTCAAATAGGAACCAATCAATTTGGAATCACTATGGCAGCTGTTGCTTTCTTTCCTTCATGGAGATGATAGTGAGAATATTAGCACATATAATATAAATTTTAATGATTCTGACCAAGGCTGAGAGATTATTTTATGTGAAGTTGTGGAATATTTTCAAAGAAATACTGTTGTTTTACTTATAATATGCACAGAACTTTTATAGGTTAGGTATCCCTTACTTGAAATGCTTGGTTCCTGAAGTGTTTCAGATTTTGGAATATTTGCCTAGACTTTGCAGATTAAGCCTCCCTAATCTCAGATCCGTGCATTAGCTGAAACTGGCACTAACAATCAACTCCCAAGTGTAGAATCCCTACAGAGCCTGCATCACACAATGTAGTAGTAGTCCCCCAATCTGACGCTTTGCTTTCTGTAGTTTCAGAACCTTGATCTGAAAACACCAAATGGATAATTCCAGAAATAAGTAATCTGTAAATTTTAAACCATAAACCATTCTGTGTAGCATGATAATACCTCTTGCTGTTCTGTTCTGTACTGCCTGAGACATGAATCATTTCTTTATCCAGGGTATCCACAGTGGGTACATGCTTGTTAGTCACTTAGTAGCCTTCTTCATTATCAGATGAACTGTCACACTATCTCAGTGCTTACTTATGGGGGTCAGTCCTCTATGAGATTTCAGGCATCACTGGGAGGCCTGGACCATATCCCCTGTGTATAGGGGGACTCCTGGGACATGGCCTGCACAGCAATGTATTTTCATGCATACAAATAAAATACTGGACCCACAACCAGTGATATGCACAGGAACCCTTTATGTGCTTGCTCCCTTTGTCTTATTTATTTATTTATTTTCCAGTACTGGGGATTGAACCCAAGCCCCTGCACATACTAGGCATATCATTTGAATCACATCGTCTAGCTCTTTTATTTGTTTTTGGTTTTGATTTTTTTATTTTTGAGAGAGGGGCTTGCTAACTTTGCCCTGACTAGCCTCAAACTCACAATCCTCATGCCTTTGCCTCCTGAGTAGCTTGAATTATAGGTGTGCACCATCACACCTGGTTTCCTTTTGTTTTGTAAAGAATATTTGTAGACTGAATTTCTGTAACTTAGAGATAAAATATGTACAGAAGAATAAAATAATTTCTCCACATTTACTTAAGAATAATCTGAACCAAGTTGCAAATAAAAGAAATTCAGGATTTGAGGGAGGTGGTGATTGGTGATACGGTTAACCACATTCTCAGCTATGTCTGTGCAGGCTGCTCCCATGACACACTTACTTCCTGCTGGGATTTTAAGACAATTCTGCCCACATATCCTTCTTCTGGAAACCAACTGCTTAAAATCTGCATGACCTCTTCTTCTGGACCAATGGCTCTCTGGAATGGTTGCTTCCTGCACTCGTTCTTTTCTTTAGATATTAAATGCTTTTCTTCCATCAAAAAATAGTCTGTGGCAATAGGTTTGGTCTCTTGTTCAGACATCAGAATCTAAAGAAAAAGTAAAGGCAAAATTAAGCACACCTCTGAGCAGTGGGAAACAAGTCTGCTTTCATGACAGATAGGTCTGATGTGTAATTTATATGTGAAACCTACTCTGGACTGTTGCATAATTCTTTTTGGAGGATCTAAGAATTCTTGTATGTCCAAAAAGGATCTTTTATGGCCATTCTGGGCAATGGCACAATTTAGTTATCTAGATAGCATAACTATTTTTCCCAGTGTTGGAATGAGAGCTCCTACTGAACTAAAAACTTTGTTTCTCACTTCATGAACTTACTCCTTTGTAATTTTGCAACACAGGACTGAGGGCAAAGAACCTAGTCCAGTTTTTATTAACACAATCTCTTTTTCTCACATTGGAAATACTCAATTGTCTTCTCATAGAAGGGCCACAGGGCTAAACTGTCATCTGATCTAAGGTGCTGGGAATTCTCCTCACAGTGTCTGTGAACCTTGTTTCTTTGTTGGCCATTGACCCTGTGCAGTCTAATGGAATGGTAGAGACAGGGCTCTAGAGCCAGGCAGACCTGGTTCTGAGCTTTCCTTTCAGGACTTACCTGCTGTGAAATGTTGGGAAAGGTACTTTAACTCCATGGAGATTCAGGAATAGTCTTAGTAATAATCTCTAAATTGTGTTTTGTTTTACGATTAAGGCATAAAACAACATGGGTACATTATGAGATAAATAAATAAATTCTAGCCACCACCAGTATCACTTTACTGATGTATTCTTTCTCACTCCTATATGGATTTATGACAAAAGACTGAACTTGAAGGGAGTAAAAGTCACACCAAAGAAACTCCCTTTGTTGCTCTCCTATAAGAAATAGCTGGGTGATGAGAGACAGCTGCCACCACCTGTCCTGGATTAAGTAAACACCCATTTCTCCAAGTCCTTGCCAATGGTGCTATGATCAGACTTAACATTTTCTCACTTGGAGGAAAAGAAGAATGCATGCTCTAAGGATAGGGGAAGCAGAAGAGTCTCAAAAGCCTCTGATCCCTCTACCCTAGCTCTCTGTCTGAAATAGGGCCAAGGTAACAACTGACTTAAGTACATAACTACTACTACAGGAATAATTCAGGATGTGAAACTTCCAGGAGGTCAGTTGGCACTGTCACCTTCATGCAGGGGCCAGGGTCACCCCTTCTTAGCCCTGAGGACTTACTAGCTTACTGGCATGGGGTGACAATAAAGTATGAGGCTACTTTTTTATTTTTAGATTTTTTATGGGTGGTCCATGGAAAGTTTTTCTTATTTTGCAACACCTCCACTGTGTTGTAATAATAGACACGGAAGTTCATGGGCTGATTGGTTTAGAACGAAAGAAAAAAACAAAACCAAAAGACCAAAACCAGAAACCCTTGGCCATAGCTTCTGTTTTATAATCTACGAGATGAGACACCTGAGCAGTTCTCTATGACTCCACTTAAATCAATTATAAAATGTTGGACAAAATGTTTACCTGTCCATAGAGATGTGCCTTCACAGGATGGTTCCACTTTTAATACTTACACATGATTGTTTTTAATTCCCCATGCATTCTGATTCCAGCTATATTTTGTCATAATACCTTAATTTCAGAGGGAGCTTCAGCATCACTCTCCTGGATCATTGCTCCCCTTGAAGAAGGGGTTCTGAGTGGGTTAAGGGTAAAAGGGTCTACAAGGATGTTAGGCCACTGATTAAGCATGGATAGAGCTTCTAGTGTATACAAAAAAGGAATAACTCATGGGTCCTTCCTTGCCCTTTGGGAAGTTGCCCTCCTTCTTTTGGGTACTGCTCTTTGTTCCAGGTTTGCCCCCTCTTACAAGTCCTCCCATGGATGGTGATCCTGCACAAAGCCACAAAGATTACTAGGATTAAGAGCAGAGTAGCCCACTAGGAAGGGCCTTAGGCCAGTTCTCCTACAGGGTTTGGGATAACAGGCTCTCATTCTCTTGTTTTAGGCTTTCCATGCTTCTTTGTACCACTACAGTGGTAGGACCTCAAAGGCCAAGACCAAGTCCCAAGGGAAGGGAGTAAGGAGGCTGCTCTTCATGCAAAGGAAGGTCTTACGCTGGAAAGACTGGAGATGTGTCCTTGGCCCATGTGGACTGTGCTGATGCTCTAGAAATCTGATTGAATTCACAGATGGCAAATAGACTTCATTCAGCTCATATATAAATTCCAATCTATTAGTAATGAAGTGCTGTATTAAGAAGGAAGATGAGTCCCATAGCTAAGCTTAAAGGGAAAAACAATACATGGTTGGAGGACCATCCATTCTGATTTGTATGTTTCTAGAGATTGGTGTTTTATGTGACTAAAGAACTGTTAAAAATTCTTCTCTATGATTCAGGTAGTTTATCTAGTAGTATCAAGATTCCTTAGGTCATTCTTAGGATGGATCTCAATGTTGAATAACATATTTACAAATAATCAAAAGACATAATATCAATATGGATTTCTGTGAATTCATGCACACATGTGCTTGCTAGGCTAAGGTACTCTACCACTTAGCCATTCTGCCAGCCCCATCTATACATTTTAGACATTCCCCTAACCACTGGCTTAGAATACTTGCCTGTTGGAGAAGCTGCTTTGCTTTGGTGCCTCCATTTATAGTGAAAACAGCAAAGGGCTCTGGACCTGGGACCCCATGCACTGTGACTCTGTGAGTCTGGAAACATCTTCTCTCTTCTGTATTAAACATCTGTCAAGAAAGATCACATGGTTTCATGGTCATTCTAAGTGACATGATAGTTATAAGCTCTGTTCAGTACAGCAGTACTAGTATTTAGAAGTATGTGTGGGGATATGTAAACGCAAAAGATGAAGACCCATTTATAACCTAATGCATGTTAATATGATGGAAGAGACAATGGCACATCTGTCTTCCTCAGTGGTCCAGTGAATGTATTTAGCAGTGCAGCACCAAAATATTAATTTATTTTAAATTACACTGTCTCCTTCTGTCATAATTAGGGACTGATACTGCATGAAAAGCATGTTAGTTAGTCCTTACCTATGAATTGATATTCTACAATATCTATTGGATCCCATCTCTCTTCAGGGGATTGGACTATAATTTTTTATGGTAAGATGATAAATAAAAGCCAGGCATAGTGGTGCAAATCTGTAGTTCTAGAGATCAGGAGACTGAGGGAGGAAGATGGTGAGTTCAGGACCAGCCTGGGCTACATAGCAAGATCCTGTCTCAAACACCTCTCCTTCCCCTAAAAAAGATGATGAATAAAATGCTCTGCCTTAGAGAAGAGTTCACTTCACTATCCAGGCACACCAATAATTATTATACAAAAAGTGTTTCTCTTAAGAAGAGCTGAATAAAGCATATAATAACTCTTTGAACATTTTTCATATTAAGATATATTCATTCAAACTATGAAATCCTATATGGAGACCTTATAGTGAATCAGACATTATGCCTAATCCTGGAGATTCAGGGACAAATGGGACATGACTCCTGCTCTCAAGGGTTCCAGGTGAATGATGGAGAAAGTGGACCATGTAAGAAGCATGGTAGGTTTCTTGGGAGCCTAGAGGAAGGGTCCTATCCCAATTTTGGAAGAAACCAGGGAGGGCTTCCTGCAAGTGGTATCATCTGAAGTAAACCTTGAAGGTTTACACAGATTAAGACTACAGATGAGACTGAGATGAGAATCCAAAATTGCTGTAGCATGTGGGCAAAACTTAAGAGGTGGCATAAGGCAGGATATTCTAGGACCCTCAAAAAGATCAGTGGGTAACACATCAGAGAGAACAAGGCTGGGCTTTGTCTAATTGGCTAAAATGTAGATTGAAACTCACATTTCAGGGATTCAGGTGTGCACCAACATATCCAGCTCCACAATGTGTTTTTACATATCAGTTTTATTGAGGTATATTTGTATATCATAAAATGCACATACTTTAATTATATGGTTTAGCCTGCACTATTTTTTTTTTAAAAAGGTGAAAGTTAGCAACATTAAAAAAAAAATTACGTGTCCTGATTTTCTTGAAGAATCAAAAGATCTGGTGCCACTGAAAGGCAAGGAGCAGCTGGAACTGAGACCTGGGTTAAAACTGCCCCTCCAAGCGATGCACAAGCCCTTGCTTTCTGGCATCTTTACCCAGCCCACTTATGTGCATTTATACCATGCTGTTGTTATCCTTGGAAATTGTTTTCATTTTTCCTCTGGTATAAACTTAAGAGAAATGGTGTTGAAAGATACAATTGGTGTCAGAAATGCTGTAAAGGCAGTTCATTCACGGCATTTGTAGAATCTTCAGAGAAGGGTTTCTAATGAGGAATGATAGGTTCAGATTTAGGTTTTAGATAGATCTATCTGGGAGGCCTTCAAAGAAGGTAGACAGAGGAGGCCAAACCCAGAGGTTTGACCAGTTAGGAACCCACTGCCATAACCAGGTGAGAATGAATGATGGATAAGGCATTAGGGATGGACAGAGAAGAATGGAGTTGAAAGACATGAAGAAGACAGAATTATCAAGTCTTAACTGGGAGGTATAATAGAAGTCTAAGATGATGTCCAGTTAATGACTTCAGCAATGGAGGGTGATGCCCTCCATGGTCAAAGAATGCATACTTAGCCAGTCTATATGCTGCTGCCTGGGAGTCCCAAAAAAGGCACGGTGGGCTATAATGAAAAAAAAAATTGGTCTTGGTCCTTGTTTCCTGGCATCTAGATCCTAAGACTTTTGGAATCACTGGAGTGATAAAAGTGTCTTTTGTTGCTAATAATAGGATTATTGGTGGCTGAACAAGACTTAAGGCATGATTAGAGCTGTGGGACTTTCACACCAACTATCAGACCTCAATGTGGGAGAAGGGTGGACAGAACTAATCACTGATGGCCAGTGATTTCATCAATCATGCCTACATAATGAAACCTCCAAGACAACCCTGAGTGACAGGGTTTGCATGACTATATTGAGGTTCTTGGAGGGCAGCATGGAGAAGACATGGATGCTCTGCACCCTTCCTCCCATACCTTGTCTTATGCATCCTTTCCTTTTGACTATTCCTGAGTTGTATCTTTTATAATAAACTGGCAATGGTAAGTAAAGAACTTTGCTGGGTTTTATTGAGCCTGAATCAGGTGGAGGTGAGTCAGAGGTCCTGGTGACATTCCAGGACTTGTGATTGGCATCTGAAGCAAGAGTAGTCTTGTGAAACTGAGCCTTTAACTTGCAGGAGCTGAAGCTCACTCCTGGTGGACAGCGTCAGAATCAAACTGAAATGAAGGACATTGACTGGTGTTGGAGAGCTGGAGAAATGGTGGTGGAAGAGACACTACACATCTGGTGTCAGAGTGCTGTGAGGAAAGGTAGTTCATTCGTGGCAGTTGTGGAATCTTTAACTAAAACAGATACAGAGGACAACCAACCCAGAGCTGGGCAGGAAGCCTTGCTTTGCCTCTGTAAAAGCATCTGGTTCCTGCTCTTTGGTACATGGCAGCCTCATCCCGCCTTGTCAGTTCTCTCCAGAGCAGAGGCCATAACTTCCTCCAGCTGACCAAAGTATTATTCTCAACCTTGCCCACATGCTGGAATTACCTGGGGACCTTTAAAAGACACCTGGGGCTCAAGGCCACATATTCTAGTTTAATTGATGTGGGGTACAGCCTACATACAGGAATGTTTTTTAAAGTACCCCACATGATGTAAATGTGCAGCCAAGGTTGCTGTAGTGTGATGAAAAGAAAAGGAGGAAAACCCCCCAAAACAAGGTGAGGGACAAGAGAGTAGATCAGAGAACAAAGCAGGGCCATTAAGACATAATGACATATGATTCATATGTTCTCCCTCATATGCAGACATTAGATCAAGGGCAAACACAACAATGGGATTGGACTTTGAGCACATGATAAAAGCAAGAGCACACAAGGGAGGGGTGAGGATAGGTAAGACACCTAAAAAACTAGCTAGCATTTGTTGCCCTTATTGCAGAGAAACTAAAGCAGATACCTTAAAGCAACTGAGGCCAATAGGAAAAGGGGACCAGGAACTAGAGAAAAGGTGAGATCAAAAAGAATTAACCTAGAAGGTAACACACACGCACAGGAAATCAATGTGAGTCAATGTCCTGTATAGCTATCCTTATCTCAACCAGCAAAAACCCTTGCTCCTTTCTATTATTGCTTATACTCTCTCTACAACAAAATTAGAAATAAGGGCAAAATAGTTTCTGCTGGGTATTGAGGGGGTAGGGGGGAGAGGGAGGGGGCAGGGTGGGTGGTAAGGGAGGGGGTGGGGGCAGGGGAGAAATGACCCAAGCCTTGTATGCACATATGAATAATAAAACAATAAAAAAAAAGACATAATGACAAAAGTGGTCCAAAGCCAGTGCCACCATGAGCACAGGAGCCTTTCCATAGCTCATTAGGACTGTGCTGACGTAGATTGATACATAAATGATCAAATGAATAAACATGTAGAGAGGGAACCCAATACATTTTTAACGTAAAGAGGAAGCACAATGGAATCAACCAGTTAATTAAATCAGCAATTCTTGTTTAAACAAACTACCCTGCATTAGTGGGGAGCTGTCATCCAATGGTTCTCAAACATTGATGGGCTTGGGACTTAACTAGTGAGTTAATATATATGGAAAGTGCTTGGTAAGTGCCACGTGTCAGCAATTATTGTTGTTACTATTTCCATAGCTACCTAATTAATGACTCATTGGCCACTTTGCTGCAGCACAAGAAAGCCTACTTCCAACATAGCAATCCCCACAAGTATACTGAGTAAAACAGAACTTAATTACCAAAGAGGCTGGCATGGTACCGCCAGAAGAAATTTCTTCCATTCTTCTGCTGTTTATGAATAGACTAGAGATTTCTAAGACTTCATTGTGGAGATTTCGCAGCTGAAGATGTCGATATCCTGGAGTAATACAGAATTGGTAAAATAGCCTGTTAACCATGTGTTATGAAGCTCTGCAAAGAAGATACTCCACCGAGGTCAATAAAAAATGACAGGTAGAAATGTGACCTTCAAGTGGGCAGTGGATGGCAGCAGGCATGTGACCTGAAAGGTACCTTTTCAATGGGAGAGAGAGATGTCCCTGGGGATGATTTTGGATCACTCAGAGGTAATTCACTTACCCAGTATTGTTTCTAAGTTAGACTCAAATGGAAAACCTTAAACTCAAATAAAAATAGCAGGAAAACCTGGTCATTTTTGACACTGAGGAATTTATAGTTCCTGTTTTACTAGGGTCCAATATTCCATCTTAGAGAAGTTTGGTGATAACATATTCTAAAAATAGGGGATTGGTTAAATTGGTTATGGTGTCCTCTTGGGGATATACCCAAAAGACTGTGACACAGGTTACTCTAGAAGCACCTGCACACCCATGTTTATTGCGGCACTATTTACAATAGCCAAGTTATGGAAACAGCCAAGATGCCCCACCACTGACGAATGGATTAAGAAAATGTGGTATCTATACACAATGGAATTTTATACAGCCATGAAGAAGAATGAAATGTTATCATTTGCTGGTAAATGTATGGAATTGGAGAACATCATTCTGAGTGAGGTTAGCCTGGCCCAAAGACCAAAAATCATATGTTCTCCCTCATATGTGGACATTAGATCAAGGGCAAACACAACAAGGGGATTGGACTTTGAGCACAAGATAAAACCAAGAGCACACAAGGGAGGGGTGAGGATAGGTAAGACACCTAAAAAACTAGCTAGCATTTGTTGCCCTTAACGCAGAGAAACTAAAGCAGATACCTTAAAAGCAACTGAGGCCAATAGGAGAAGGGGACCAGGAACTAGAGAATAGGTGAGATCAAAAAGAATTAACCTAGAAGGTAACACCCACGCACAGGAAATCAATGTGAGTCAATGCCCTGTATAGCTATCCTTATCTCAACCAGCAAAAACCCTTGTTCCTTCCTACTATTGCTTATACTCTCTCTACAACAAAATTAGAGATAAGGGCAAAATAGTTTCTGCTGGGTATTGAGGGGGTAGGGGGGAGAGGGAGGGGGCGGAATGGGTGGTAAGGGAGGGGGTGGGGGCAGGGGAGAGAAATGACCCAAGCCTTGTATGCACATATGAATAATAAAAGAAAAAAAATTATAAAAAAAAAAGAATTAACCTAGAAGGTAACACACACGCACAGGAAATTAATGTGAGTCAAGTCCCTGTATAGCTATCCTTATCTTAACCAGCAAAAACCCCTGTTCCTTCCTATTATTGCTTATACTCTCTCTACAACAAAATTAGAAATAAGGGCAAAATAGTTTCTGCTGGGTATTGAGGGGGTGGAGGGGAGAGGGAGGGGGCAGAGTGGGTGGTAAGGGAGGGGGTGGGGGCAGGGGGGAGAAATGACCCAAGCCTTGTATGCACATATGAATAAAAAAAAACTGGTTATGGTGTGAGTGTATGTGAAAAATGGAACAATATGTAGTCAGTAAAAGTGGTAATGTAATTTAACACAAAAAGTTGCTCAAAACTAGTAAGTTACAAACTGCTAAGATTAGTAGGAAGCCTAACTGATTAAAAATTATTAAAATAAATCATATATATGGCAGAGAAAAGATGTCTATCTAAGGTGATTAGATTGGAGAGACGGAAAGATGGATATTTTTAAAAAATTGCTCTGTTCTCTGTTCTTTCTCACATCTCTGTAATAACTATTATGGGCTGAATTGTGGCCCCTTCTATTCATATGTTAAAACCCCAACCCCAGTACCCTAGAGTGTGATGTATTTGGAGACAGACCCTTAAAATGGTAATTAAGTTAAAATGGTGCCATGAGAGCAGGTCCTAATCCAATTATGTCTGATGTTCTTAAAAGAAGTAGAAATTAGGACATAGAAACACCAGACATGTGCACATAACTAAGATCATATGAGAATATTTTGAGAAGGCTAAGCCAGGGAGGGAGGGCTCTGAAAAGATCCAACCTGCTGACACTTCGATGTAGGTCTTCTAGCCTGCAGGAGTGTGAGCTGATAAATTTCTGGTGTTTTGTCATAAAAATTCTAGCAAACAAATATAATACCCAAGGGTTACTTGTACAGAGGAGAAAAGAAATAGGGATTGAACAAAATGTAGGAAATTAAGGAATTTGTGGAGCTCAGAGGACAGCAGCTTAAGTGTGACAGGGCATGGTGTGTGTGTGTGTGTGTGTGTGTGTGTATAATATATGTAGAACCTGATACTCAAAGTAGATCAGCAGTCAGCATCCCTGCTGTTAGAAAGGCAGTATCTTAAGCCCCACCCCAGACCTACTGAATTAGGATCTACATGTCTCTACCAAGAGTCCCAGGTGATTACTATGCATGTCAAAGTTTGTAAAGCAGTGCACATCAAAGCCAGTCCATAATCCAACAGTGCATGCCTTTGCATGGGATTCTCCTTCTTTCCCCTGCTCTACCTAACAGCCACCCTAAGTGTCCAACACTGGACTTCCACCATGCACTGTCTCCAACTATGGCTCATTTTTCCCACTATTGCTCTCCCTCCTTTCCTTACTTTAGTCCCTGCTTTGAAAGTGCTATTTGGGAATTTTATTCTACCTCGTTTTAATGCCTTGAGTGGAATGATTCTCTGAGCAGTTACCACTGAACTGTTGTTTTCCACAACTGCAAAACGAAGAAATACAAGATCTTCAAAGTGAACCCGGAACAGAAACTGTTCATTCCACATAGGGTTCAGTGTGTTTCGATGGATGGGCTTCGTACGGAAATGGCAGCTGTCCAGGGGCATGCCTAGGACGTCAACTTCAATGCACGGGCTTCCCGTGCTGTTACTAGGGCACACATTTTGGCCAGAGACAATCTGAAGGGGGAGAAAAAGGATTAAGGTCACAGAAGATGAAAGAGAAGCAAAGACAATCTCTGGACCTCATCTTCCCTTCACAAAGAACACAGGAATAGACAAGGTAAATGATTAATAAAACTGTTAAGCAAAACCAGTGATTATAATCAGACAATCCCATGACTGCAATCATGTGAAAAGCCTATTTTGTTACCAGCATTCAGTTAGCTATTATCTTCTAACAGTCAAAATTTACAATATTGCCAAAAACAAGTAATAAAATGACATTACATCCTTACAGAAGTTGAAAGAAGATCACAAATCCTTACTGATATTCTCTTCAAAATGTTGTAGGAGTATATTTTATGACTTCAAAGTCTTCTTGAATAGTTTAGTTTTGGAGCAAGTCATAGTATGTTGTTAAAAATTAATTTGTAGCCTTCTGTTAACAGATAAAACTACACTCAAGTAACTCTAGCTAAGGGCCAAATGGAAAAGAGGCTATTGCCCGCCTATCTTCAGGAAAATTTGGATGGTCAGAAATGTGTGAATGGGGATATTGCAGGGATTTGGGGTATTACAAGCGGATTTCTTTTGGAAAGATAGAGGGACAAGATCTAGAAATGGAAAGAAGAAAGGACCTTCTCTCTTTCCTAACCCCTACCCAGATTTTTATTTTTCTGTTAGCTAAGAGGGAGCAAAAGAATGGGGAAGTAGAACTGAGTGAAGAGCTATCAGATCTCTGTTTTAAGGAGAGTTTGTAGTGTTCTGATAATGTTATTTAAGAGATAAAAAGCCTAAGGAACGACCCAGGATGATAAAGAAGGAAATGATAGAAGCAGGAAAGATGTTTCACTGTATATGTATTCTGATGCCAGTTGTCTGACCCTAGAGCTTGTTGGATCTTAAGATCAGCTGATCTAACAAGGAGCTCAGGGTTTGTGGGGCAAATTCATAGTTATGAATGACCGTCTTTAGTATATCAGGTGAAGCAGGGACCTCATATCTCTACCTACTGGGCTCTGGCAAGCACAGGGCCTAATTAATGACAGCACACCAAGGCATAGCTTACTTTCTGTGAGATAAAGAAATTCTTGTGGGAACTAAATCTGCATGACCTGTGACATGAGAGCTTTGTCATGTTTTGAAATCAAAACCAGTTCATACTAGTGAAGGCTTAAATACCTCACTGTTCTGACAACAGGGGCCCTACTTACAGTTAAGGAATAGATGGCAGGGTCCATGTTTTCCAGCTCTCTTTCCAGTGGAGAAAACTTCTGATACATGGGACAGTTCTTATCCCACAGAACTGGGGGTTTCAAAACATAACCACAGCCACCATTAGCCTCAAACATTGCAGCATTTAAATGTAAAGGGAGATCTGCAAAACAAACAAAGTGGCTTAAATGTCATAAAGCTCAAAAGCACCTTGCATCAATTTTCTGGAAGCCCAAGCAGGAAGCATCAGCCACTCATTCCATAGACTGATGAATGCCTGCTGTGTGCCAGGTTGTATTAAACACCAGGGGTACTGCAGGTAATGAGACAAAAAATCTCTGTCTTCACATAACATACAATCTATGGAAATGCCCAGTGTTGCCCCTCCAAACTAGGTTTGGCCACATAAGAACTTTCACAAGTAAAAATTTATCCCATCCCTCTGAAAATCCTTGCAAAATACCTTACTTTAGACTGAATTTTGGAAAGGAATCATTCCATTTTCTTATCCCCAAACACCAAACCATGCAGACAATTTTATGGTCAATTCTTGCTATTTCAAAGGTAAGATAAAAATCTTAACTATACAAGAAAGAATAGTCAGAAAAACAGTTTTTCCTTGAAATCTCAATTTCAATCCATAAATTACTTTTACCTTTTTTTTGTTGTTGTTAAATGTGAAAAAAACTCATCACATATGATTCACATCATGTGCACAATCTCCTCAATCATAAATGTTGGGAACCCTCACAAAGGATTTGAGTCTTTTGTGGCCAAATTTTATTTGGCACAGTTGTTTGATGAACAACTGTATGCCTGCACTCTTTCTGGACTCTTCCACATTCATATGCTCATCTGATGGCTTAAGTCTGTGTAAAAGCTGTCCCAATGAACATAAGGTTTATGAGACACACCTGACAAGTGTTCCCTCTGATACATTCTTTCCATGTGCAGAATGAACTTTGCTACCTGGACCAACATCAAGGAAAACTGTGGTAAGCGCCTTAAAGCACCAGAAATTGGCCCCTACTCTTGTATCTTGTGTGTAAAATTTTTCCATGTGTCTGAGATTGGCCAAGATTGTATGCAGGAATTCCTGGGGTAAGGTGTCTTAGACACAGGAAGCTCCTTGGGACTCAGTCTTCTTTGTCAAAGTTAGTGCCCACCTGCCAGGCCCTCTCTAGTGCTGATGTGACTGAATCATTGAGGCTGTGTTGTCTCACCTGCAGAGGGACGAAATTCTCTTCCCTGGCCACTCCATGACAGAGAAGCAGACATGGCTAGGATGACTAAGAGAGTGGGGCAAATGCGCTCACATGGGGTGAGTAAATGTGAAATGGACATTTACCCTAATCTGAAAATTGAATATCCCTGATCCGAAAATATGAAATTCTCCAAAAGATGAGACTTTTTGAACATTGATGTGATGCCACGAGTGGAAAATTCCATGCTTGGCCTTGTGATGGTTGAGTAAAAACACAAGAGTACAAAAAATATAAAATCACCTTCAGGCTATGTGGACAAGGTGTATATGAAATATAAATGTGTTTTGTGTTTAGACTTGGGTCCTATCCCCAAAATAGCTCATTGTATATATGAAAATGATTCAAAATCTGAAAAATTCCAAACATTTGAGTCTCAAAGCATTTTTTGGATAATGGATATTCAACCTGCATTACTAATAACAGTAATACCCACACTTATTGATTATGATGTCACCCTATTCAAGATTGAAGTCTGATCTCATTAGCACTGTGTCTAGGCTAACAGAGTTCCAAAACTTTAAAGCACTTTTTTCTCAGCTAAGATTGCATTTGGCAGCACAATATGTAAAAGTTCTTTTATTTTAATTTTTTTGGCAGTGCTGGGGCTAGAACTCAGGGCCTTACACTTGCTAGGTAAGAGCTCTACCATTTGAACCACACCTCTAGCAAAACTTGCTCAGTTTGAAATAAAGATGGGACCTCAAGTCTACTCCTCTTACTGCCCCCTACAAGTGGCCACAGAATCTTATCTGCCACTATAGTTTGAAAACCCCTGTTCTAACCAAAGGAAAGAATGTGTACAATTGGTGTACCACTATTTACCCTGCTGAATCAATGTATATGATGATAGATAAAGAATACCACTGCCTTTCTGGTCTTCTATTCACTTAAAATGCTGTATTAAAGTAACTGCCATTCTCATAATATTTATCCTTATATTTGCGAGTCTGGAAAAATCATCATAAAAATGAGACTATCATTCAATGAAGCATAAAAAAACGCTTTTTTAAAAAGAGGCTTTTCTCCTCACTGGAGCTGCATGTTTATACACTTGTAGGTTACTGTCTATGAAGCAGGAATTATTTTGCCCCAAATGGAAAGAACTCAGAGGGATTGTTGCCAGCAATAACCATGGGTTTGCATACCAGCCTCAGGTCAGTTTCCAAACTTGGGTTAATTTTATTGAGTGGGGACCTATAATACCCCTGGTTCCAGATCACTTCTGACTTTTTGGAGTTCACAGAATCAGCAGAAAGCTTGGGAAGTGATGGCTTTATCTCCATAGACACCCTTTGGGGTGATATCCAGGAACTGGCAAGGCAGATAGATGATCTCTGTGACAGAGTGGGAGCCCAGAGGAACACTAGGAAGAGTCATGGAAAATCAAGCATTTCCTGACCTAGGAATACTTTGCAACGATTAAAAAATGATTATTACAATGTCAACTCCTGCCTATATGGATTTGTAATTCAAGCACCTGGAAGAAATCCAGAGCAAAAAAATCAAGAACCCCAGGTTCAGATTACAGTGGGGCCAAAAAGGGCAGTGCGCTTCATCTCAGAGCAATTGTTGAGCATCTACTGGGTGTAAGATATTGAGTGAGGCTCTTGTCCCAATTTGCAGAAATGAAGCCTATTTTTATAGATGGACAACACTGACACTGTATGTAGCTTGTGCCTGGTCCAGCAAGGCTGGCTGAGTTGAATTGAAAAAGATAAGATGACAGAATCACTCCAAGATTGAAAGGCTATGCAGAGAACCTCATAACAGTGATCTGCCTCCCTTGGGTGGTGCAGCTCAAACAGGTGCTCCTGGCTTGATAAAGAGGGAAGGAAAGGCTTCAGGGGTGAGTGGAACACAAGCTGCAGCTTCAGTGTGTGTTGTGGATTGTGGGGTGGTCCATGGACCACCAACCCTTCAGTTGAGGCTCCTTTTGCCATCAGTGGAGCCAGAGTGGCTGCTCACTCTTGGCACTTTCATTTTCTTGAGAAAACTATTCTCCTAGTTACTTCAGTGTACTTAAAATATTTTGGCATCTTAATAACCAAGGGTGCCAGTGGACACAGGATTGCAGACAGGGTCAGGGATGTAAACCCACAAGCTACTCAGGAAAGATTGAAAGGAAATGGAAAAGAAAACTTTTACAACTTTGAAAGCATTTCACCCTTATTTCCATTTGTGGGTCCAAGTCATTCTGTTTTTGTAACTTATCAAGCACACTTAAGAATAGTTAACATTTGTGAAATGTTTTCTATGTGCCAGGTGCTCTGCTGAGTATGGTACTTTACCAGCGTCACCTCATTTAATTTCAATTTAAAAAATTAAATCTGGGGGGGACAGGGGAAGGGGAGAAGTGGCCCAAATAATGTATACACATGTAAGTACATGTAAAAATGATAAAAATAAAATTAAAAAAAGAAAAAATATAACAAGGGCAAAATAAAACACAACATGGCTGATGTCTCTAACCTATGTCTTTGGGGTCAGCCATAAGTGGGTACCACTGGCACCAGAACAAGGTAGCTAGCTGGTCCCAGAGCTAAAGCTGTGGTTTGACTTCAGCTAGAGAGGGCTGTACAGTGGTTTATGGTTCAGCACCATTACTGGGGGCAGATTCAGTTCATGTGAGATGAATGATACGGGCTGCTCGTGGCTCCTCTGTTCAAAGGAAAGATTGTGGGTTTTGCATGAGCTCCCAGGAAAAATTCCTTATTGATTCTTATTCTTTCCTCACCTTGCAGTGCCCCTCCCCATTCAAACAAAATGCTTTCTCCTTCTAACTCCCAAAACTTGAATTTATTATTGCAAGCCATCCTGCAACCTTGACCAAAGGAACCATTTTCCTTGGTCTGCACATTTCAAAAGTAAGGACCATAAAGGTACCACCTCTTAGGGTTGTTGTAGAGATTAAGTGAGATAATAGTTGTCAGGAATTCAGCACAGTCAACTGGGTGTGGTGGTGCATGATCCCATTGCTTGGGAGACTGAGGCATGAAGATGGTGAATTCAAGGACAGCCTAGGCTATATAATGAGACTCTGTCACAACCCCCTCCCCCCCAAAAATAGGATTGATCAAGGTGACTCATGCCTGTAATCCTAGCTACTCAGGATGAGGCGATCAGGAGGATCATGGTTTGAGGCTAACCTGGGCAAAAAGTGAGACCAACTCCACACCCCGCCCCCACTGCCGCTGCCCGCCATCTCAACAAATAAAGCATGTGTGATAGAATACTCCTGTAATCCCAGTTACTCAGGTGACATAGGCAGGAAGATTGCAGTATGAGGCTGGCCTTAGGCAAAAACATGAGACCATATTCAAAAAATAACTAAAGGAAAAAAGGATGGGAGGATGGCTCAAGTGTTTGAGTACCTGCCTAGCAAGCGTGAGGTCCTGAGTTCAAAACTCCAGTACCCTGCTCCCCCCCAAAATCCAAAGAATTCAGCATAGTGGTTGGTGTTCAGTTAGCATGCAGTAAGTGAAAACTTTTATTCTGGGGTTTTAGGTCTTGTATCAGTGGAGAAACAAGAACACTATTTTCCCTGTTCACACAATTCACATACTTGTTGTTTTCCTTGTTAGCTCCCTTAGAGCACTGACTGGTATTCTTCATCTCAAAAGCATGCGGAGAAAAATTGTTCTACCTTGCACAGTGTTTGAAGTGACACTACTATTTTTATTTTTTTAAGGTAAGGTCCCACTATGTTACCTAGTCTGGCCTTGAACTAGGTTCAAGTGATCCTCTTGTTCAGCTTCTGAAGTGGCTGGGACCATGCCCAACGTTGACACTACTTTAAAAAACCGCTTTTGAGATAAGGTCTTGTTATATAAGCAAAGCTGGCTTCAAACTCATGATCCTCCTACCTCAGCCTCCCGAGTGCTGGGATTACAGATGTGCCGAACCATGCCCAACTTGGTCCACACTACTTCTTGACTTCAAGAACAACTGCCTAGTAAGACAGCTTAACTAAGTGATGTTAGGAAATCTGTCCCAAAAGATCTTTAGAATCAAACTCTGTCAAGACAGTCTGTGCTTCAAAAGTGGTTTTAGAAAAAGTCACCAACCCCCCTTTTTTTGGAACCCCTACCAAGTTCTTTTCTATCACTTTAACTTCAAAACATCAGGGACACAATGCAGGATCACATTCACTTTCCTCTTCCATCCTCTGTGCGTTTACCCTCACGTATGTGTGCCCCTGTCTAGGCTTTCTTGACCTCTGAAAAAAATGTTCATGGAGCCACATGTACTGAGCTGTGAGGCGTGAAGGAGAGGGGAGAGGATGCAGGCCCTTTACCATCTGTCTGGTAGTTGAGTGCCACGAGCTGTATCCCATGGAGCCAAAACATGAGGGGGCTGGGGTTGGATGAGTCGATGCGGGTGGCAGCTGGGTAAGTCCTCAGCAGCTGGCAGGCCGTGTGCTGGATCAGCTTCTGAGAATACCTGCGACACAGACGTTTGCCAGCATTTTCGTTCAGTGATGAGATATGATAGCATTTGGGGGTTCTAATGATAGCGCTGAGGGAGGTGGTCGGGTTGAGAGGGGAAGGACAATCCTCCCAGGTCTGTCGAATTCCTTCGGAAGAACCTAAACCCCACAAAAGATTAGCCTTGGATTAGTGTCAAAAGCTTTCAATAGTCTAGAAAGACAAACCTGAATGACAAGCCCCATAGTCACAACACATAAGTGAGACTGCTTCTTAAATTTTACTTGTGAGTTAGCTCACTACCTTGAAACAACACGGTGGCTACTGAGTTTCAAAATGAAGGTAGCAGGTTGGGGTGTAGCTCAGTGGTAGAGCAATGTCTACCATACACAGGTCCTGGGTTCGATCCCCAGCACCAAAAAATAAAATAAAATGAGATAGTAGAGCTGATTTAAATTCAAGGGCTGGAACTCCTTTGCCTCAGTACTTCATTTACCCTATGGATATGTTTGCACAAAAACACAGCAATGTATAGACAAACCCACAAAAAACAAAATGGGAAGCAACCCAAACCTTGTATCAGTGATGATGTGGTTCAATAAACGACAAAATATCCATACAACAGAATACAGCACAGCCATTAAAAAGAATAAGACAGAGAAGATTCTGGGAAAATTTACAGCAAGTATAAAAGTTATACAAGTATGTTTAGTTATATCTCATTTGCATTATCTTTAAAAAGATCTTATTTTTCTTAAAAAAAACACAATAAACTTCCAGTAGTTTACCTCAGGGAAGGAGTGCCAGGCCACTGAGCATAGAAAAGAAGTTTAATAATCATCTGTATTGTTTGAGTTTTTAACTATGAGAAATTATTACTTTTACCTTAGGGAAGGAGTGCCAGGCCACTGAGCATAGAAAAGAAGTTTAATAATCATCTGTATTGTTTGAGTTTTTAACTATGAGAAATTATTACTTTTACCTTAGGGAAGGAGTGCCAGGCCACTGAGCATAGAAAAGAAGTTTAATAATCATCTGTATTGTTTGAGTTTTTAACTATGAGAAATTATTACTTTTACAATAAAACATAGTTAGAAATAAAATGAATTTATCTCTGGGTAAAGAGTTCAGTTCCAAGAACCACTAGAATGTTCCCAGGTGCTTCCAACTTTTACTTTTGAGTCAAACAATGTTAGAATATCTTCAGTGAAATACTATTTGTAGTGAGTCAAAGGAAAAAAATCAGCGATTTAAAATTTTTTTTTGCCACATTTGAACCATGTGAACATTTATGCAATTAAAAACAAATTTAAAAATTTAAGGGAAGTGCTTAGATAGCAAAATATTTGAATCATGTAGCATGCAGGATCAGGCAAAGACATTGGAAGAAGGTGACTTTACTTTTTCCAGATGTTTTGTTAAATGAGGCCGCCTCCCCTGGGCTCATTCTGCCAGCATTGTTGCCAAAAATGGACTTCCTGCTTTTCCTTTCTTTTCCTCTGCTAGAGCCAGATGAATTTAGAGTTGACAGGCCTGTTCCCATAAAATGAAAATAAATAAGCCAAAAACTACAGGCAAGGGAACTCAACATTTTTCCATCCTTGTTAATGTTTATTTTGAAGTCCTACTACTTCCCTGGAGCCCAAAACAGAAGACCTACTAACATTTTAGTACCGTTAATAAAAGTATTGTAGATAATCACAGCAAGCTTTTAATCTCTGTAGACAAATGCACCAAGAACTGCATGTTTATTATTGAATAATCACAAAATATTGCACACACACACACACACACACACACACCTCTAGCTGACTGTGCACTCAAAAGTTTTTTTCATTTGCTGTTTTTTTTTTCCCCCCCTTGAGACAGAGTCTTGAGATACAGACCAGGCTAGACTTCAGCTCTCAATCCTCCCTCCATGACCTGAATGCTGGGGTTACAGGCATTTGCTACCACACTCAGCTCTGAAAGATTTTTGAAAATTGCATGAAAAAAAGTGCTGAAGTCCATGATAAGTTACTAGAGGTTAATTACAAAAAGTAAAAAAAATGAAAGAATGATTACAAGCCCAAGCTTGTGTCCACATTCAATTCCCTCTGGTATGAGCCTTGACTGAGCCCTCTACCTCCCTCAGTTTCCTTAATCTACAAAAGGTGTGAATATAGGAGCTCACTCTTAGGATTCAATTAGCTCAGTCTTAGGATTCAATGGGAGATACATTATGATAATGAAGTTTACTGACTTTCTCACTCCTGGCATACTCACTCCCTTCATGCCTGGCACAGTGCCTAGCGCACAGCAGGAACTGAGAACATATTTGCTGAATGAGGAAATGCATGCACACTACCCAGACCTGGCTCCTGTGTATGGAGAGTGATTTTAAGGCTCCAGAGAAGCTGGAGTTGCCTCCAAGTCATTCTTACTGTCTATAATTGTGCCATTGGAGAATAATTCCTTAAATTGAAGCTGCATTAGATCTTTTTTTTTTTGAGAGGAAAATATACCTTCCAAGAACATCACAGAGGAGACAGGATAGAATAGTGTTTAAAAGCATAGGGTTTGGAGTGAGAAAACTGACACTCAGTGGGAATTTGCTTTGGCCCAAGTCACAGAGAACAGGTAGCCAAGAGACCAGGGCTCTGACCAATGATCTTGTCCAATGATTTTGTCATCATTTAATATTTCTCTTGGCTGCCCTTTTTTTCTTTGTCCTTGTGGTACTGGATATGTTGGCTCACTATGACTGGAAAATAATTAGAGACCCAGGAGGTATTCAAATACATGCCTAGGAATGCAAGGAGCTCCCAAAAAGGAAACATCTTTATGGGTTAAAGAGTCTCAGATACTACACAGGGACCCTTGGCCTTGGAGTTTGGACAATGGTAAAAGAAAGTAGGAAAGATGGGCCAGGTTGAATACACACTTTGCCTGAGCAAAGACCTGACAGCAAGAAGGGCCATGGTGTATGTAGGTGCCTGATGAAGAGTGGGGGATACAGAGAGGCTTGCTGAGAAGTGTCCAGAAACTAAGTAGATGGAGTCATAGGATAAAAATACCATGCCCTCCTTTTATTCCAGCTTGAAGGAGAAAAGAAAGGAAGGGAGATATAAGTACAAAATGTAACTGAGAAACAAACCTCATGAGCAAACAAATATAAACACAGGAGAAAAAAACTTAGCTCTTTTCTTCACTCTGAGAAAGGTAAGATAATGTGATGAAACTATCACAATGAAGTCCCTTTGTACAATTAACATAGTCAATACTTTCTCTAAAAATCACAGCTGTAGAACTGAGACACCCACGTTCTGGTTCTTGTGCTACCAATGCCACATTCATGATGCGGGAGTCAGTTTTACTTGTGGGCCTCCTCACATGATCTTTGAGTGCCTTGCTATTCTGCAGATATTTTTACACATGGCTTCTAGGAAGTGACTTGGGATGGTGAAAGGCGAGACACTGAAATTGATAATGTAATTTATCAGTTAAACTTATCAAACTTAAAATCAATAAGGTAACAAAATAAACATTTTATGATATTTCCCCCCAAACAAATTGTAAGCTGGGTGTGGTGGCACACAGGAAGTGGCTGTAGGAGGATTATATCTTTGAAGCCAGTCCAGACCTTGAGATCCTATCTCAAAAATGAAATGCAAACAAAAGGGATGGTACAAGTAGTAAAGCACTCACCTAGCAAGCATGAGGGCATAGGTTCAATCCCTAGTACTACACACACACAAAAAATCATCAAAAACAGATTATAATAACAATAAATGCTTAGAAGGGATTGTAACAATGATTCCAGCAGCATAATTAGTTATTTTGAGAAAGGAACTAAAACTGATGAAAGAAAAAAGAAACTTCAATTACTAAAAAGAAATTATATACGTATACGCATATATACGTGTGTGTATATATATGTGTGTGTGTGTGTGTATATATATATACATATATATATATATATACCTACATATATATATATGTATCCATAAGCATGTGTATATATGTATATGTGTGTATATGTATGGGACTGGGCTGTAGCTCAGTGGTAGAGCACTTGTCTAGCATATGTAAGGCTCTGGATTTGATTCTGAGCACCACCATTAAAAAAAGAGAAGAAATATACTTATAAAGAATATGTGCTATATAAAGGTGTTCAAACAATACATTTAGAATTTAAAAAGTCAAGCAACTATATGCCTCTGTTAGAAATAAAATATAATTAGCTCCTTGGGAGGATCTTGATTCAAGGACAGCCTGAGCAAATAGTTCTTGAAACCCTGTCTCCAAAATAGCCAGAGCAAATTGGACTGGAGGTGTGGCTTAAGTCATAGAGTGCCTGCTTTGCAAGTGTGAAGCCCTGAGTTCAAGCCCCAGTCCCACCAAAAAACAAAAAGGGAATAATACTATTGACTTCATAAAATTATTATGAGCAAGCCAAAGAGATGATCTATGTAAAATACTTAGCACAAATCCTTGTACTTAAGTGTTTAATACATTTTAGCTGTTAGATGTTATAAATATCATTTTTTAATTTTGTTACTATTAACTATTATGGAAAGAAATTATGTGATCTGGAAAATGATTATTTTATAGTATTTTTCCTCATGTGCATTAAAGCAAAATATAATAACAATAAATATTTAGAAGGTATTAGAAGCATGAATTTGGCTACATAATTTAATTATTTTGGAGTTTCACAATGTCTAGTCAGATAAAAAAGCATTCTTTTATTCTTTGGTAACTTTAAATGGCACAGAGGCCTGTTCTTACCTGGAAACTTTACTGCTTGGCAATAGATGACAAGGTCAGAAAGCTCTGGTGCAATCTGTCTGCTTTCTTTCTTATTCTGAGGAAGATAAAATTCTTCTCCCAGTTCCATGTCATAAACCTATCAAGGGAAAATGATACCATTTTACATAGAAGGTATATGCCACTCTCCTCCAAATTCCCAAAGCTCTTTGTACTTCTCTAGTGTCATCAGTGTGCTTGGCTCAGTTTTTATCCACATTCATGTCCTAACACCTTAATTAGAGGAAAAGCCTTCTGAGGGCAAAGGATGAGTCTGATCATATCCCTCTGGGCAGATCCTCTGTCTTCCACATGGAAGAGTCTATGCACGTTTGTTGACTATCTGTTGTGCCACATACAGATATATTTTTGAGTAAGAATGTTCACAGCTACTTTATTCATCATGACCTCAAACTGGAAAAAACTCAACTCATGTCTATTACCAGAAATATAGAAAACAAATTGTGTAGATCCATAAAATAAACTAAAGATAGTCACAATATGGATGAGCCTTGAAAATGTTGTATTGTGTAAAAGAAGTCAGATACAAAAGAGTATATAGTGTATGATCCCACATACATGTAACTCTAGAACAGGCAAACCTGACCTAAGGTACTGATATTACAACAGTGACTGTGTGGCTCAAATTTTGACATATTTCATTATTCTATCCTCCAACATTGTCACAGCAACTATGTCTACAGATTTGCTCAGTGTGTATACGCTGCAAGGTACTTGAAGGTAGGTCTAGGTATCTAATGTATCTTTCCATTCTTGGTGTCATTCCTGTCTGGCCCCACTTATCTTCTTGGTCATCCCAAATGCCTTTACTTCCCTGAACAACCAGGCTGTCCTCTTGGCCTGAATGCCATGTTTTTATCTGTTCGACCAAATCTTTCTTTTCAAATATCATGTTCTCTGAGAGACTGTCCTTGATTATCTGATAACATAGTAATGATCCTTACTCTTTGCCTTTGTCTGCAGGTCTATATGCAACACTAACCACCTCCTATGCCACTTCACTGCCTGCCATACACAGAGCCTTAGTAGGTATTGGTTGGATGAGACAATGACTAATCCTTACAAGTGGCAGATGTTCCCTATAATAACAGGAATGTGGAATTTGGGATGTAAGGGATAGGGAGAGCGAAGATGAAGGGAAGCAATAGGGAGGAAGTGGAGCCCCATCTGAAAGTGACAAGAGCACTGTGGGACAAGTAGTGCAACAGGAGACATTCACCCACCTTTCCTTTGTTGCAAGCAGAGTTATCTGCTTTCTTTATCCTCTTGGGGATTTCTTCATTATACTCAAACTGAAGCTTGTCAGTACATGATTTATTTTCAGGCCTGTCTTCCAGAATGTTGTCTGAAAATGAGTTAGCTGGCTTCAGTGAAAAAAAGAATGAAAGGCTAGCTACATATACATCATTGTGAGGATAACCAGATACTTGTATTTATCACAGGACTGAGGTTCTAGCTACATGTTACCAAAATGACAGCATACTTTAAAAATTAGGTTGATGGACTGAACTTCAATTTAATTGACTCAGTTACCAGTAGTTTTGGTCCCAAATAGACATAATCTAAATGAGAACACTCATTTTCATACTGATGACTGAAACTGTGAAAGCACTCTGGAAGATATCATGTGTCAAGAAGCTGATAACACCCAAGTTTGGGAAGGATTTAGTGGTTAATTCACTTCTAGATGATACATATATGATTTCATCACCCTCACTTTGAAATGTTTGCTGTTCGCTTCCTTTGTCTTGAGAAATGTCAACACCAATGCCTGTGTGTGTATGTGTGTGTGTGTGTGTGTGACTTACTATTATGTACAATGCAAAGTTTTCACAATTATAGTTAACTGGAAATTAAAGTTTTCATGATTGTTATTAATTATTAAGTGATAATCTTAAATATATTTAAATATGTCTAAGTATGATAGATAATTGGAAACCTGGCTTTTTAAAAAAAACATTTCTATTCGGAATGACTGTAAAAGTATAAAAGGCATATTATGATTATACTCTTTTAAAATGAAAAATAGAAAAGCTAACTTCTTACTCAAGACTTGCCATCTCATCAGACCACAATGCTTAGACCAAAATATCTTTCTAGCAAATCAGGGCCATGCAGGCTGCCAAGAAGTAAATGAGTTCAGCTGCATTTATATTCACAGAATTGTCACAACTTCATGCTAATTAGACCCAAGGAATTGGAAACAGAATGCTGACATCCATGCAGTTAAAATGCTCAGTTCAAATGGTGTTTACCTTCCTGACCGTTAGAAGCGGGGGAAGCAGTAAGGACATCTATAGAAAAACAGAATCAGAAAGGGGGTACAGGTAAGGAGAATTAAGACAAAAAGCCAGATAAATTAAGCTGAGGAATGAAGCAAAGCATAAATAACAACAGCTTAGATTATAAGGTAACTGAAACTAGAAAATTTCTGTTGATTTAATATTTTGACTATTACAGGATGCAAAGACTAGCAATAAGAGAAATGCACATTGTTAATCATGCCAGCAGCTGCCACACTAATGTTTCATATTTTCAGTTACCGAGGATTGTAATATTCCTGATATGACTTCAATTCAAATGACAGGAATCAATTAATTTGTTAGAATCATGCAGTCATTGTTATAGAACATGCCTACAATTAAGGTATAAACTTATACTTGTGCTTCAATGTATGTTCAAAACTAGCCAAGGCAAACAAGGTTTGGCAGAAATCTGTATTTATTTTATTAAATTTAATGAAATAAATATTCAATAAAAGGCAGAGTAGCAATTCCTAAAATGCATAACCCTCATTTGCAAATTCCTTGGAAGTTTCTTGAAATAACACTGTGGCTAGGTATCATCTCATTTGTATGGTCAAAAGGGGCTTTAAGTTCATTCCCTCATCCTATTGGTATGGAAACTGTGGGGACTACAGATGTCACAGCAATAAACTGGGCACCCTGGTTCTCGAGATGGATTTTTCATATGGATGCCTCCAAGGGCCTCAGGAGGCTTGTGGAACTCCTGCAACCGTATGCAGTTTTGAGATCACATTTGTTTCTGGAATGAAATTGAGGACAGCTTTTCATCTGATTCTCAAAGGGTCCCATCATTCCAAGAAGCTTAGAAACCTTTGGGGTCCCTCTGAGAGGCTGGAAATGATGCTCCCCACAGCAGGCAGCATTCTATTTTCTTTTTATCCCATCTGGGGAAAATGGAGATGGTAGAGGAAAGCAGAGAGATGGGGCACCAAAACCATCACTGAAAGTCTATGCTTGATAAGGATATAATAGTCACCTGTGGAAGCCTTCACAGGACAAGCTTCAACAAGATATAGCACAATTGCAAGGCCTGCCTGGGAATCAGCCAGTCAGACAGATCAATCAATGAAATGGGAAATAATCATGGGTGGGAGTGGACATTGGCTATCACAGATCAGAGATGTTAGTGCTAGAAGTGGGTGAAGAACATCACCAAGCATGACAGTCTTGTCATGGCATATCAGAGGGACCAAAGGCTGATGGTGGTGGAAAGACATTGCACAAGGTCTCATAGACCACTGGAGTAGAGCCTGGTGGGTTCCAATTTTCTACCCCAGAATGGGTTTGTAAAAAATACATGTAACTCTCTTAGAAATTCAGTAGGGCAGGCTAAATTTTACTCTCCCAATTGAAAATAAACCAGAAAGAGCCTTTGCCCACCTAGTCCACTTTGTTATTTGCAAATCAAAAATATCTTTAATAATAATTTTCAAAAGCCTCTATTCTGTTTCTCAAAAGTACAAAAAAGCCCAAGAGTAATTCATGACAGAGAGTGAATCACTCTGTTTTTTAGTGGACTAACTTCTTACAGGGGCAGATGACATCTGGACTGATTAATTTCTTAAATGTGGTTTTCATTTCATATCTAAATCAATTTGTTCTTCTATAGGATATTACCACAACTGTAGTAGAAATCCTTGGGGGAAAATAAGTCATTATAAAAATGTTCACATTCTCATGACTTTTCAGGAATCACCGTAAATAAATTATCTTAACTCCTTTCAAATTTTCTCCCTCTTAAAATCTCATGGAGTTTCGGATAAGTAAATTGGCTTTTAATTACTGGTATGAAACAGCCAAATATTCAGTGGTCATACCTGGTGTTATATTTGGGGGCAGAAAGAGACTGAACTGTCACCAGTGATGGGGGCTCACTGATTTGAAACATGATTGAGACAATCCTGAGTGTGAGAAATAGATATTTAGAGAAGGGTGGCTCAGTTGTCTTTTTTTTATTTTTATTTTTTTGGTGGTGCTGGGGTTTGAATTCAGGGCTTTACGCTTGCTAGGCAAGTTCTCTATACTTGAGCCACACCTCCAGCCCTTTTTGCTTTAATTATTGTAGGGTCTCAAATTTTTTTTAACCTGGGCCAGCCTGGGACTCTGATCCTCCTAAGAATGCTTCCCTTGTGCCAGGGATTACAGACATGCACCGCCATGCTTGGCCCCTCTCAGTTGTCTTAATGTCCGCGGTAATATCTGCATACTTAGCAAAAACAACTGGTCTGTATAAAACAACATATTCTACAAACATAATGTTAATGTAGGCGGTGGAAGCAAGAAGATCATGTGTTCCAGGTTAGCCTGTGTCTGGGACAGGGAGTTGGGGGTGGTGGGAGAGTGTGGGGGGGTGGTTTATATAAATAGGAACCTTGATATTTTCCCATCATCTTTCAAAGGTCATCAAAATGAAAAGGTCGACTATCAGCAATGGTGCCACATTCTCCAGGAAATTACAGAAATTTAGTGCAAATAAAACACACCGGAAACCTAATTCTCACATGAGAAAAATCCTTCACTAGTAATATGGGGTTAACACCATTCATGTGAGATTTTGGTGTTGCATCATAAGCTATCGCTCATGTTTTTTTCTTTTTTGTGGGGCCAGAAGGAAATGTCTTGTTGGTTTAGTAATCTGAGAACTGGGGAGGAATGAGACTTTTCTGTACTAGAATGCCAGCATGAGAGTGTGACAACGGGGAGCAGAGACAGCACAGAGTGGTGATGCTGCCCCCTGCAGGTGGTGCAGGAGAGAGAAAGGATTCAGCCACAGTCAAATTCCTGCCAAGAGCCTCAGCCACATGAGAAACTGAAAGGGAGAAAACAGGTGTTTCTCTGCTATTACTTCATCTCTTCCTCTAGAAACCCATCTTAGGAACGCCCTCTTCTCCCTGGAGTGTGGCCATGATGGTTAATAGAATCCCTGTCCTTTCTTGGTCCTTGATAAATGACTGGATTCAGAAATTCAGAGACAATATTGTCACAATCTGCATTGCTGTACTATGGAGCATGAGATTTATTTTTGAAGCATTTCCTTGTACACAGCACTGGGTTCTGTTTTTCTTACCATCAGAAAGAGATTCATAGTCATAATCATATTCATCTTCTTCATCTTCCTCCTCCTCGTTATTGGCAGGTGGTGGATTGGCATTGCCACCATTATAAGCTTGCGCTTGCATGGATGCTAACTGATGTGCCTGTAAGACAGAAATAATTAAACACTGCACATGCAACCTGGTGAGCTTTCACTTACAACCTTCAAACCTGCCACCTAATGCTTACCAGTTATTAAAAGTGGATTACCTTATTTGGACTCATTTGTGAGAGGAAAAAATATCTAGATTCTTTGAACTGCAGTGTCAACCTTTGAGCGAATGTCAACATTCTTACAGGAAGAGTCTTGGAGCTTTTAGGAGCAACCCCAAAGAACCTCTGTGTAGTTCTCAGAGGAACCTTTGGTGCTTTAGAAAACCAGCATCAGTCCCAAATGACTGATGGCGTGAAACAACCCGCAATTTTGGAATAGTAAGTCTCTGCTAAGAAACCAAACTTTTTCCCTCTTAAAATAATCAAAGTCCTCCAACCTTGAGAACAATGCTAGAATCCCTGCGGACAGAGAGACCAAAAGCATAGTTGCTGGCTTAGAGAAAGTTTGTTTGTTTGTTTGTTTTTCCAGCAAACTATCTGAACCATAAATCAGATTAACAAAATAGGCTTAGAAATTCTGGGAAACTTGTGTGTGTGTGTGGTCATTTATTGAATAAAGAAAGCAGAATTTGTGTGTGTGTGCATAATACACTATATCTATTCATTAACTATATACACATAGCTATCTAATTATATATAATTTTATATCTTCTGTTTAACGTATGTATAAAGTACAATTATATGCCATAAAGAAAGCTAGATATTAAATGCTAATATAGCAGGGTTATTGATTTGTTTTTATGTCACTGAACCTTCTGACAGTCCTGGTGAGGTAGAGTACCTTCTGAGAACGATGTTTTAGATGTATAAAATATAATCATTACAAATGAAAGAAATAATGTTGAATAGTTATCAAAGGTTAAAAACCACATTTCTGCTATGAGAACATATGTTTCTTTTCTTTTTTTGGCAGTACTGGAGTTTGAACTCAGGGCAATGCTTCCCAGGCAGGTGCTCTACCACTTGAGCCACACCTCCAGTCCTTTTTGCTCTGGTTATTTTTGAGATAGGGTCTTGCTTTTTGCCTAGGCAAGTCTGGACTACAATCCTGTTTTCAGATTCATGCCATTGCTGGAATGACAGGCACAGGCCACCACACCCAGCTATTCTCCATTGAGATGGGGTCCTATGAACTTTTCTGCCTTGGCTCACCTGCAACCATGATCCTCCTGATCTCAGCCACCTGTGTAACATGGGATGACAGGTGTGTGCCACTGTGTCCAGCTATTGGTTGAGATGGGGGTCTCTCGAGCTCCCTGCCCAGGCTGCCTTGAACTGTGATCCTTTAGACCTCAGCCTCCCAAGTAGCTGGGATTACAGGCATGAACCACTGGCACCTGGCTTATTTATTTTTAATTAAATTAATTTTTTTTTGTGGTGTTGGGTATTGAACCTAGGGCGTCACCCATGCCAGGACAAGTACTCTACCACTGAGCTGCAGCTCCAGATATCCCCCCACTTTTTTTTTTTTTTGTGAAATGGAGACTTGTTATGTTGTCGAGGCTGGTCTTGAACTCCTGGGCTCAAGTGATTGCCCTGCCTCAGCCTCCCAAGTACCTGTGACTATAGGCATGAACCACTGCTTCTTCCCTCCCCTCCCCTCCCCTTTTTCTCTCTCTCTTTCTGTCTCTCTCATCTCTGTCTCTCTTTCTTTGGTGGGGCTGGGCTTTGAACTCAGGGCTTCATGCTTGCAAAGTAGGCACTCTACTATTTGAGCCACACTTCTAGTCCATTTTGCTCTAATTATTTCAGAGACGGGGTCTTGCAAACTGTTTGACTGGGCTGGCCTTAAACTGTGATCCTCCCAATCTCAGCTTCCCAAATAACTAGGATTATAGGTGTGAGCCACCATGTCCAGCCACTATTTGTTTCTTAATAGAGTGGAAAAAAAAACATATAATGGTAGGTCAAGTATTTTTTTGAAAATATGATGAACATAAATAATTCTTGGAGATAGTAGCAATAACTGTGAAGTAATATAAAAAAAATGTCATTTCTACTGGTGACAAAGAGATAGATATTGCCAACAGTGCTATGGTTTGTTCCCTATATTTATGATTAGAAGGAATGCTAAGTTTCAGATAGAGTGAAAATAAATACAAAATTTGTTTCCATTTCTATTCATGGACACCTTGAATGGATAGTGTCAAGGTTAAGAACTCCTATAGTACAAGTTGTATTTGGTCTTGAAATTATGCATATTTTAAGATAATTCTCTATTCCCCAAATTGTTTTGAAATGTGGTTATACTGCCTTTATAATAAAAATGTACACATAAGGAAGATACAGTTTAGATTGGCTTATATTGAGATAGAATGCTTGATAATGTAGTCCATTCCAGAAAAATGAATACTATCTAGGCCCAGATTTCTCAAAATGGGTCTGATGGAACTCTGTGGGTGTTAGTAGCTGTTATGGAAAAACTGACAATTCAGTAACCACAAGTGCAATGAAAGTCTGGAGACAGTAGCTTAAGCAAACTGAAACACATTCCTACTACTGGGCCTCACAGAGCCTTCATTCAATATGCCAAAGGGCATCGTGATTCTTCAACGATTTCGAGTGCCATTTCCCACGCTTGTTTAACCAGGAATTTTATTTTCTGTTTTTCTTTTCTCAGAGTGTCTCATAGGATTAGTGCTCTTCAGAACTTCCAGAAATCGGTTCTTGGCACAAGTGAGCCACAAAAGCAAGTCTGTGTGTCACTGGTAAGAGAAAAGCCTAGATTCAGCATAGTCAATGCAAGGGCCAAGTGCAGAGAATGATGGTGTAAAGAGTCTGGTAGTTCCCCTGCAGGAAAATGTCAAAACTGCATGGAGGAAGGACATCATTCATGGCCCATGAACAGAAATGTCAATAAAGTGGTCTACCAAGGTCCCTAGATGCTCAAATACTTCCATGAAAAGGGATGCATGGGAGAGGTGGCCAAACAGCGACAAGAGAGCTGACACCCTTCTTTGCAGTATCCTACTTATTCTGAGGTTAAAGAAAAAGGGTAAGTACTTGCATAAAAGAAATTTGGATATAGGTTAGGGGGGTTGAGCCAGCCAACAGTCAAATGAAATACGGCTCCTATGGGGCTAGGCGGGAACCATGTGTCTCTTTTCTCTGTTGCCCTGAGACTTGGCAAGTGCCCATCACCTCACGTAAACTTTTGAGTCTGGAGGGCTGATGTTTCAGGGATGACAGAGTCCTGAGAATTCTGTTGGGTATGGTTAGGAAGCCACAGGAAGAGTCTCAGTAAAAGGCTGACAGAGCTGCTGGGCTTCAGAAATCCTGCTCCGAGTCATCCCACTCTTGCTGCAGGAGAGTTCTTTGAGTGGAAATGACCCATGCCTTCCAAATGAGGGGTTAAGCCTGAGCACTCTGGAGCTGTCAGCATCCACCAGCTTGTGTGAGACCAGAGAGCCAGGTCTACATCCACAACCTGCCAGAGTACCAAAAGGCCTTGCAGGTGGGATTTTTGAAATTATGGCCTGTACTCCCTGGGAAATGATCTTGGGGGGTTACAAGAGGTCATAGATAACTTAGAATGGGATAATGTCCCATTTTTCCAAAAAGGAGGAAGAGGTAAGTTTAGGCAATTATATCATTTGCAGTGTCAAGGTAATACCTGATGGCATTTCAGAATGGATTATTTGTTAGTTGGTATGTGAGAACTGAGGAAATAAAGAGGGGATTACATGAGTGAACATGTGCTTATGAAGATCAAGTCTCCTGCATAGTCTTAACCTGCCTTAGCCTTTTGGATAAGGTAACTTACTTTGAAGAAAATAGCAGGATGATAAGTCATTTTCCGGTAACACATTGCCAAGGCTTTTTTCTAGAAATTCTGATTTAGTTGGTCACATTAGTGAGCAAAGAATTTGTTTTTAAGTGATTTCTATCAATGCATCCAGACTCTGAAATACCTTTGAAAAACCTTTCCCAAAGATCCAAGTCTCAGTCCTAGCTCTGCCACTGTGAGCTGGAAGGCTATGAAAGGGACAGAAACGGTAAGTCTTCAGTTTTCTATTCAATAAATGAAGATGGTAAAGAACATGCTGGAGAAATGTGAGCTGCAAGAATTACCCCGACTTTAGGCTCTTTTGAAAGGGCCACAGGTCTCTCCATGAGCTGATGGCTCAAAGGTCCGTGGGATGACATGGTTTGGAAAATAATAAAAAACGCACTGGATGCAGGAACAAAATACAAAAGACCCTTGTAGGATGTGGAAACACACTAAAGTCAGGAAGAAAAATTTAATAGAGGTTAACAGTAGGCTTTCATATACAGAAGATTAAACTTTATTTTAAACCTGGAAATACAGGGAGACTAGGCTCAACGATGGTCTATATGAAAAAAAAAATGGAACTCTTTGTTTACTACAAGCTCAGTATGAGCCCAGTGTGTACTAAAGAATTTAAAAATGAGAAGAATCTGAAGCTACGTTAATTTACATTTTTTTTTTTTTACAGTGCTGGGAATGGAACCTTGGAGCTTGTACATGCTAGGCAAGCGCTCTGTCCCTGAGCTATACCTCCAGCCCTTAACTGAAGTTTAAAGCTCAAATTATGGGGCTTATGGTTTCACTGTACTTGTGTTGTCATATTTTAAGATTAATAAATTCAAGAATATAATTAACAAATAAAAAATTATCCAGAATAATCTTAATGGAAAGTGAAGAGTCTTGAGTCTTGACAGCCATATTCAGTGAAGAACAGAGTTTTTAGCTTGGAGAAGAAAAAGCTGGTAAGGAAGGAAACACATGATAGCCTTTTTTTTTTTTTATTGGAGACAAGGTATTGCTATGTGTCTGTCCCAGACTAGCCTTGAACTCATGCTCCTCCTGCCTCTGCCTCTCAGACACTGAAATTACAGGCACGAGCCACCACACTCAGCCACATAATAACTTTTTCCCTCTCTCTCTTTGCAGTACTGTGGTTTGAACTCAGGGCCTCACACTTGCCAGGCAGGTGCTCTGCCACCTAAGCCACACCCCCAACCCTTTTTTGCTTTAGTTATTTTTCAGGTAGGGTCTTGTGCTTTTGCAGTCCTCCTACCTACAGCCTCCTTGCATAGCTGGGACCACAGGTGCATATCACAACACCCTGCTTATTGATGGAAATGAAGTTTTGCCTGGGCTGGTCTGGAACCATGATCCTCTTGATCTCTACCTCTCTAACAGCTGGGATTACAGTATTAGCCACCATACCTGGCCATGCATGATAGCTTTCTAAATATAAAATTAGTCTGCATAGCTGTACAGGGCAGTGGTAGGATCAGTAAGAAAGAGAAACAGAAGGCAGATTTGTGCTCAACCTAAAGAACACTTATTTAAGAACATTACATAGTGAAATGAAACCTCGTAAGTAATTGCAAATGTCTATGAAGAACAGGAAAGGCAAGAACATTTAAGTATGTCATGTTAATACTGCTAAGGACACTACCTACTTGGCTGTGAGGGATAGGCAGGACTTGCTGGCTGAAGAAAATAGCCTGAGAACCATGTTCTGGAAGAAACAGCTCCCATTGCTGGGTGGCCAGTCACTGATGTAGCATTTGAGGAAGGCTAGTAAGTATACATGCTAACATTTTAGTTAAATGATGTCATAACAAAGCCCAAGTGAAAGACTCATGGCCTCTGAAACCCAACCAAACGCAAGGTCTCCTGGACCAGTTTGATATACTCATCTGGACAAAAATACACCTCAAAGTGGTGGCCCTGGGAACAGACTTCACTTCTAGATCAGACTTGCTTGGCTGGTGCAACATTTTGGGTTTTTTTTTTGGCAGTAATGGGGTTTAAAAATCAAGGCTTTGCACTTGCTAGGCAGGCACTCTACCATTTGAGGCATTCTCCCAGCCCTTTTTGGGAGAATGAGGGTCTCATATTTAAAAAAAAATTATGATTATTTTTAAGTTCTTCTTAATAGTTTATTATACTTTTGAATTATCATACATTAATAACACAAGGAGGTTTCATTGTGATAATTCTATACACGTGTACAGTGTGCTTTGAACAGTTCACCCCTCCTCCAGTGTACTATAACAGGTCTCACATTTTTTGCCCAGGCCAGCCTGGATAGTGATCCTCCTACCTACGGCCTCCCAGGTAGCTGGGATTACAGGTGTGTACCACTATGCCCAGCCTTATTTATTTATTTATTCATTTGTCTAAAGAGACAGGTTCTCTTTATGTTGCTCAGAATATCCCCAAACTCTTGGGCTCAAGTGATCCTCCTGCCTCAGCCTCCCAAGTAGTTGGGACTATAGACATGAGCCACTAGGCCTGATGGGTACAACATTGAAAATTCTGTAAGAATTTAATTAGAGCTATGTATTTATGGGGTGTGCACACTCCACTCCCATCTTCTCACCACTTCCAACTATTGTAATTCCAGCTGGCTCCTTACATTGGAGTTTCCCGTTTGGCCTTTGAAGATGGCTGATTTTGCAAATCTTGGCCTATGGTTGTGTGGGATCTTCAGCTGGGGAGTGTACACTTCCAGGGTACACATAGACTTCTAGGGATTTGCAGATTCAGATGTTTTTAAAGGAATAAACTTCCAGTCATTCAATATCTATATGTCTGAACTGTTTTAAAATACAGGTTTGCCTGAAAACAAGCTGATTGTCAACTAGTTCTCCTTCCCACCTTTTTTTCACCTGTCTTATGAAAGAGGCATGGCTCTTACCCACCAACAATCTTAGTATAAAGACTGAGGGGAGACGAGAGGGACAGCTGAGAAGGTGGCATTCCTGAAAGTCCCGAGAAACCAGAGGGCACTGGAAGCTGCTTATTTTGTCAAGGCCACAAACACCTTCAGTGCTCCATGTCTCTCTCTTCCTTTCTCCTTGCCTTCCTTCCTGCCTTCTTTCCATCTTAGAATAAAAATTCAGAATTAAGATGATCATCATAAGGATAATAATATAATGCATATTTGAATTTAAAAACAAATTTAGACTCTCTGTCAAAAAATAAGCCTGGCTGATAAGAATGATTGATTCAAAAATAAGGACCATTTTGTGTATCATATATGTTATGTACAAGTATAAATATATAATAAGTAATGTTAGGGAACATATCCTTTGTAACTTTAAAATTGTGATAAGATTTTTAACATTAACATTAAAAATGTGGGAGAGGAAAAAGTATGAAAGAGGTATGTAAGTTTTCAAAATTCTTGATACTTAACAAAAATGATTTGAAGACCATGGACCTAGAGGATCTGCGATAAACCTGAGCCACACCAGTTAGGGCAAACCTGATTTGTAGTGATATGTTAGGCTGGACTGGTTTGAGGTCTTTCTGGAAGTAATCACTTTTGTGCCCAGAAGTTTAAAGACAGTGGAGTCTCTGGCCTCATCTTCTCCCTTTCTCACAGTTTAGACATCTAAAACAACCTGGGTTTTTGGTTCAGGAGGAGCTATAACACAAGGCCTCAACTTAGCCTGGACTTTGGGCTGTCTGTGGGTGAGTCAGATAATCTAGGAACTCCTTGGGATTTAATGGAATAGATAGTGGGATGTCCAGGCCCCTCTGAGAAGCAGTAATATTCCTGAAGGGCAGGAAGCACTGGTCATGGAGTATAATGTGGTATAATTAAATGTTCAGAGTGGTCAGCAATTCTGATAGAGATCTTCTGATTCACTTTGGGAGAGATTTTGTATGATTTTAATGCTGGAAGAGTCCTTTGAGATCAGTTCCATAACATCTCCATTTTATAAGTGAAGAAATTGAGGTACAGAAAGATTAAGTGATCAGTGATCATATGGCTGGTTTGTAACAGAGACAGTGGCTATAATCTAGTATCTCAGCTCTCTGCTTAGTGTTTTTTCCTCTAACATTATGCTGTATATCATTCGGGCTTTAAACTCAGACCCTGCCTCTGAGGTCTACAAATTAAGGCTTTGAGAAGGTTTGATGGCTATTCCAAATTGACTAACTAAATCAAATTGTATTCTCAACTCAATTTGATCTGGTATTTTTTTTACTAATGACATAGGGCAAAGGTTCCAAATTTTCTGTGCTGATTTCTCTGTTTTCTGGAAGCCACTAAAACAGAACTGAAATTGGGCCAGGAGGGTTGGAGGTGGTGGCACAGAGAAAGTCAGAAGCTCTGGGCTATGCCTTAGTTTGGTCTCTGGAGACCTTGCTCCTGGTCCTACAGCTATTTATTCCAACGTGGAGCAGAGGCTCATGAAGCAACTCTTGGTTGCTGTAAGTTTGAAAAGCAACGTTTTAGGATCAACAGTGCCCTCCGAATAGGACAAGTCATTTTGATAGCCACCATTTTGTGACATAAGTAGGTATAGCTGACAGATGGACTCAATGTCCTGGACTGAACCTTTTCGCAGGTCCTTAGGCTGATGGCCTCCTACACAGGTGGGTTTGTGAGGCTTGGGCACAGCAATCTGTGCATGAGGTAGGAGTGGAAGCACCTTGTGGTCAACATGCTGCTATGATACACTGCAGTCTCAAGGTTGCTGCTATCAGACCCCAGGCCCAAGTACTTTTCCTAAAGGGGACTATAGCAACCACTATGGGATTGACAGCCCTGAGGCTGGTTCTGAAGACAAGAGTCACACATCTTCCTACTCAGAATAAATTGAATATCAGAGATACATTCTTATATGAGAACAATTCTATAAGATAAAATTTCAGGTGAGTAGGATGAAAGAATTTGAAGTATGAAATAGAAAACCAAAAATCAAATACATCATAAGATAAGTCAATCTTCAAAAACTGGTTACCTAACAGGTCATTTGAAAGGTATAATGACATTAATTTTTTTCTGAGCCCATCGTATATTCATAACCTGCTTTACAAGACATGAGTACCTTTTGCTTTAAGATATCAACTGGTGTCTGATGGGCCTTCAGCTTCTTATTTTTAAGCAGCACTTTCTTTCTAAGTTGGTCTGGTGAGGGAAGCATTGGATCATCTGAGAAATCAGTCTCAAATAGGAATTTAGCCACCAACTTCTCTCCAAACACAGTCTAAAAAGAATAAAGGAAAATACAATGAATGTCTTTTATCTATACTTGACAAATGTATTTCTATTTCCTAAATATACTACATCATTCAGCCTGGTTGAATTGTTTTAAAAATCCCAGGGAGAGGAACTCGGAAAGAGTTGTTTATTCTCTCTCCACAGTTTCCTACTCGAAGGAAGGGAGGTGTTTAGGATAGGTGGAAAGATGTAGGCCACTCTGCAGCTGGGGCCAGCTCCAACAATTTAGGAAAAAGCTCTGGTGACTGGTGTATTAAAGAAGAAAACAGAGATTCAGTTAGATGCTATGGGTCATAGAATATGGTCTGTTTTCCAATGAGGCTAAGAAGACAGAAGGATAGAAAACTTGGAGAGGATAGGGAGTGGGGACAAAGACAAAAGACAATAGGGAGAATATGACCTCAAATAGGATAAAGAACCACAGGCACAATTCCCACAAAGATTTTTGAACATTGGTCTCCAAAGCAGAATGTGTCTTTCAAGGAGAAAGGTTAGACATGGGGTGATCAGTTGAGGTAAGGGTAGAAAATATGGCAATTTTTACTTCTAGTTATTTTTTCAATTAAAAAAAAACAAAAATCAAACCTTAGGCCAAGGCAATATAAAAGGCTGAAGTTTTGTGGCATTAGTATTGGAGATATTTCTCTGACAGTGCCCCATCCTCCCACCAAGACACACATTCTACAAATGCTTCTATCATTGGAGGAAGTGTGGAGTCTAATAGAATATCTGCTCCTAAGTCTGTCTGTAGTATACTTCCCTTGCATAGAGAAGGCTGATTGTTAACACAGCAACTAAGGTCATTGCTAACTTGGAACCCTGTACTGCAGAATGGTTCACAAGATATGACCTGCCCTGAAATATTTTTAGCTTTCCCACATGCAACTGTCAGTGACATCCTGGCAATCCCTGACTTCTGGCACCAGAAGGATTGAAGAGTTGTTCCATCTTTGTCTCATCAGGCTTTCTGGAAAGGCTCAGGAGACAAGAGAACAATGCATCACTCCAGCTGAAAAGAGATAATTCTAGAAGAAGACCCAAGCTCCCAGGGCAGCCTATGTCCCAGATCTGTGGGACCCTAACAGTATGTGCTTCAGGTCAAAGTTCAGCTGGGGTGTGGTACATGATGGCTCCATATAAAATGCAAAACAAGGACCAAGATACCATTCTGCCTTTTGGGTGGGAGCTTACCTTGAAAATTTCTGCCATTTTTCGTTGTTGAGGCAATGAACAGTGGTTCTCAATAGATATGATGATTGGGAGGTCAGAGGTGATGAAGGCACTGCGGTCAATGGCTTCAACCACTTCCTGTGAGAGCCAAGCAGCTCATTAGAGTTAGATACCTGTCCAGAGTGGTCAGAAGGCAAAGTACTCATAACCACAGAAAGCATCTCAGGTGTTGCATTTGGAAGACTCTGGCCAAAGGTAGGTTTTATCTTTTCAAGTGTACAGTTGTCCCTTGGGATCTGTGGGGGACTGATTCCAGGACCCCCACAGATATGGAAATCTTTGTGATACTCAAGTCTCTTATATAAAATGGCATAGTATTTACATATAATCCACATGTATCCTCTCATACACTTCACATATTCTCTGGATTACTTATAATATCTAAAGAAATGTAAATTCTGTATCAATAGTTGTATGGTTTAGGGAATAATGAAAACAAGATTAGCACAATTTTTTTCCAAAATATTTTTTGATTCAGTTAGTTGAATCTGTAGATATAGAACCCATGAATATGAAGTGCTGAATGTATTTTCAAACTTAGCAAGAAAATAGGCTATTTTGTATAAAGACATGAAACTGTTCATATTAAGTCTTGTTGCTATATTATGAGGAATACTATCACCATACACTACTGAACAATGTATACAGAGAGAGAATACTGTAGGTAAAAGACACTGTTTTAGTTACAGTATCAAATATAATGAACCATAAGATACTTTGAGGAAGTTAATAATTCATTTGGAGAAACGAGACACACATCACATATACTTGTGTGTGTCTATAAACACAGTTGTTAACTCATCCAAGACAGGAAATTAATGTGAGTCAACTCCCTGTATAGCTATCCTTATCTCAACTAGCAAAACCCTTGTTCCTTCCTATTATTGCTTACACTCTCTCTTTTGCCTTAGAGATAAGGGCAAAATAGTTTCTGCTGGGTATCGAGGGGGTGGGGGGAGAGGGAGGGGACAGGGTGGGTGGTAAGGGAGGGGGTGGGGGCAGGGGGGAGAAATGACCCAAGCATTATATGCACATATGAATAAAAAAAAATATATATATATACAGTGCAAGAGATTTAAGAGTGCTGCATAGGAAAATGAGTTAAAGAGAAAATGCATTATAGTTACTAAGCTACATATTAAGATGAAGATAATAATATTCTTTCCTAGCCTGACCACAGTTCAGAGAAAAATGATGTTACACAGCCTAAGAGCCTGTGAATGAGCAATAATTGCACAACTATACTAATAAACTAGCCAGAATTTGAAATAATAATTCAATAAGACTAATCTTCCTGGTTGATCAGTCTCAAGTAGAACTGATTCTCATTACCTTATAACGTTGATTACTTAATCATCTTCTAATACATGATATTGGCCTTCGTCAAGAGGACACCAGGACAAATGACTTTTAATTGTTATATCAAGAGAACAGTCCCTGCCTTTATATTTTATCATATCACTGTATCACACAAAAATTATAGTCAATAATATCATTACATCCTAATATGATGTAATGATTACTAAACTTTAGTTGAATAAGAATCTAATGAGAGTTCTAGATCATGTCCCAAAAAACAAACATGTGTACATCCCACACAAATGCTTTCAGGGTGAAGTCTTCATTCAGATTCAGCCTAAGGAATAATTTGGTAGAGTAACTAATATAAATGATAATGTCTCTTTGTGATTTGATTTGAAGGAAGTTCTGAAGCATTACCTTGAAGGAGATCTTGGTTGTCAGTGTATGTCCATGATAAATAATGGGCATCCCATCATCTCCATCCCAGCAGTCCAGCTCTACACTCCTGCAGCCTTGCAAGAGGACCTGTGTGACCAATGAATGAATCCACCCCAGATGAGCACCTGGAGATAAAGCCTCAAACTGAACCCAGAACATAGTTCTACATATCATTTAGCATTCACATTCAGGGATAAAGAAGAAAGGTATAAGATCTAAAATAAGAATTGCATTTTGGCCAAAGCCCACAATTAACATGGGGTGGGGAAGACAGAGCAGTGAGGAAAACAGAAATAGTGCTTATAAAAGCTGAATATTGTTGGAAGGTAAAATTTGATAGCAAAAATACATGACTTTTTAAAAAGTATCTCTGGTCCTTTGGAACTGACACATTTTCAAATTAGAGAGCTAGGCAAGTGCTCTATCTGGGTAGATAACCAGTGGAGGTGAAGATGCTGATGACACAGCCCAGAGGATGTTGATTTCTTAATGACTAAACATTTATATGAAATCAATTAAGGTAAAATATCCTCCGTTAAGACCCAAATTCAGCAATGTGGAAACACCTTTGCTACGAAAATGTAGCACATAAGAGTAGAAGCAAGGAATTGTCAAGGATTTGCCTGGCTATCTAACCTACAGCAGAGATGGCAAATAAGCCACAAACTCCCCATTCCCTGTGCATAGCAGATGCCAGTAATCAGTCATGGTACACTTGCCCCCTTAGCTTTGATATGTTGTCTCACAACTTTTTCAGCAATGTGCTCCAGGAAACACTGTCAATGATTCAGATGAGCTGATATGCATTTGCTATCCTGGATCTAAAACTGGAAGCAGGGCTCCCAACACATCTGCTTGGATTGCAGCTGTATAACATCTGCTGGGTGCAACCTCTCCTTCCATAGATTCAATCAGTAGACTACTTTTAAAAAACTATCAGATAATGGAAAGGTAATATAAGACAAGAGATTGGGATATTTATGAATAGGCTGACCCACTGATTGGAGAACTCATAGAACTATTTCCACGTGACAGCAATCCATTACTAGAGTTTAGTGTTCATTAGATTTTCTGCAACAAAATTCAGATAGCAGAATGACTCTTATTTTTAATTTTTTTGTATGAGATACTTGCTAGGTTCTTCCTATTACACAGCATAGTCCGTGACCTAGAATTCCAAGGCTATCAGCTTCTCGTGGCAGATGGTGTATCTACAGGTATATTGCCTTGGGCTGAAAATTGCTATGTAATGTGACAGCTGGAACATGAATGGGGCTGCTTCTCTGTACAGAGCCTGCCAGATGGGGAAGAATATGAGCAACTGGCAATAGATGAGGTAGTTTTTCAGCACAAAGAGACTAAGAGTTTTTAACCAAAGTTTGCATGACCTTAATCTCTCTCTATATGGCTAGAAAAGGAAAACCAGAGTTGGAAATTCCAGGTAAGGAGAAAAGAGCTTATTCTTATTTTCCATCTGCCTTGCAGAGAAATAATAGGAGGTAACTATGAGGACAGAAGGAGAATGGAGGATGATTAGAAATGAAGTAAAAGGGATCTGTACCCTACTTTGAGCACATCTATGAGTCTGTTTGATGGGTTCTTGCACCTTATTCAAAAGCTGTAATGATTTCCACTAGGGTACAATGTTAGAGAGTTTAAAAATTCTTTGAAGTCAAATAATGATGTGGGAATTAAAGACATTGATCCTTGCTTATTTTCCTGGCAAGTATACACACATAAGTATGTAGATGTATATAGATAAGGATGCATGCACTTATGTATATGTACACACATGTGTGTATATGTATGGGGCACATTTTTTGTCCCATGCTATGAGGAGTATCTGTACTGAACAAAGGAACTTAATTGCTTCTGGGATTGTCTAAATAATACAGTTACAGTTCCCAAATACAGACCCACATGCACACAGCCACACACCGAGATTCTCTGGACCTAGTCTAGCTCTCTTCAGATTAACCCTTTGTGTAGGAGTTCAAAAACTCTCAGCATGGAAGAGGAAGTTGCAGACAATAACAGAGAGGCAAGGGACATGAAGGTCGTTGAGAGCTGGATGCTTAGGTCAAAGGATGTGCTTTTCCCAGCCCACAGAGCCCACTGTTTCACAGAGCATCCCAGGGACTGCAGAGCGGAGGGACAGTGCCTCCAATCTGGGCAGGTTTTTTTTAAAGTTGGTTACCATGGGAATGGACTGATTATCCAGTAAACCGCAAAGCAAAACAGACAATGTTTCGGGATTAACTCTGTAAGAAAGTTGCATTTTCTACTATGCTTTCCCATTAAAATATATTGATTTATTTAGCATTTAGTGAAAAGATTAGATAGTTTTCCCATGGGAAAATCTAATTTTAGTAGGAGTAGGATCTAAAAGCTACGAATCTCAAACAAATGCTTTTTTTTTTTTTTTGCCGAGAATAAAGGTTAAGTAGATAGAGGGGAAAATAAAATAAAACAAAAAGAAATAAGGAAAATAACTGCTGTATGAATAGTCAGTTTTTCCACAAATCATGGCTCCTCACACTTCACATGTCATAGTTTGGAAGCTTTTTAAAGGAGTCTGGGATCAGGCTTTTGTGATTTGGGGGGCTATATAAATAATAAGGTTTAATGAAAACCGCATTGCAAGTGGCATTTTCAGTACCTGGCTGTAGAGTTCTACTGAGGATTCTCCTTTGAGCTGATGGCCTGTGAGGTAGGTATTGTGTGAAGACTCAATGTAATAGTAGGAGAGGGGTAGCTGCAATTCTTTCATGTTCTCCTGTGACTCATCATTTTTTGAGGCAAAATTATCTTTATCCATCAGAAACCTAGATGAATTACATTTTGTTAAGACTGCATAAGAGCAATGTATACTCTTAAGTGATGTGTAAAAGATATTTTAAAAGTTACCTTGCAAATCCTTCAAATGACATTAGCCCTTGATGACACATACTGATGCTAGGCTCAAATTTCTGCAAGGAATAGTAAGAAAAAAGTGTTATTTAGGTAAAGGAAACTGAGAAGGAAAAAAAAAAGACCACATCATTTTTTAAAAGCTGTTCTGTTTTCATCAGGAAACATCTAAACCAAATATTTGAATGAATTTAGTAATGTAGTGGTAAGATGTAGTTTTTGGCCCAAAAGAAAGTATTTATTATATGTGAGTTTATTATACTAAGCATATTTATTTAAGAGGAAAAAAGGGGAGCAGGAGAAAAGAATAAGGCTGATTTATATAAAAACAGCACGGATCAATTTATCCAGGTAAAAAATGGGGATAAGAATAGTGGCTACCATTAAGTTGGTGGGAGATGAAATGAGATGGTCCACATGGAGCACTTAGAACCTGCCTGGACTGAATCATAGTACAGTGAGTGCTCAACAAGTGGCAATGCCTCACATTTTTAGCATGTTAGTGATCAAATCCAATTACTGGACAGGGAATCCACCGATTTTCAATTGGGCCATCAGACTTAATCTGTTGCATATGATAACACAGCCATCTGAAGTTTCACCACCGTATTATTTGCCACCCTGTACTCTAAACCATCACCACCTCCTGACCGGGCTCTCTGCCTCTGTCCTTCAGCAGCACAGTTTATTCCCCAATGGGGCCACAAAAACCTCTTAAAAACATAAATCATGCTACTCTCCTGCTTGAAAATTTCCAAAGCTTCCATTTCACATGGAGCAATACCTCTTTTGCATGGTTTAAAACGCCTAGATGATTCAGCCCTTGGTTACTTGTCTGAAATGGTGTCTGACATTCTTTACCTGTCATTTGCAGCTCTCATTCCACTAGCTTTTTTTGACATTCCTTATAAACCTGAAGTTGGTTTCTGTGTAGGTCTTTTTGTTTGCCACTCCCTGTTTGGAATCCTCTTTCCTCAGGAATTCACACGACTTACTCATTTTAGGGCTAAGTCCAAATGCCACCTCCTGCATCACTCCATCTGGCTACTCAGCTCAATTTTTTTCACAGCCCATTCCTGAAGTTACACATCTTTGTTTACTATCAGCCTTACCCACTAGATTGCACAGAGTGTCAAAGCTTTTATTCAATATCACATTCCCAGCTTTTGGAATAGAGCTGGCAGAGTAAGAGCTGACAAATATTTGTTAAATGACAAACGAGACTGAAAACTTGGAGTAATTCTGTTGCATGTGCTAGAATAACAAGAAGGAACCTTATACATATTCCTTATGACTGTCACTGAATAAATGGCATCTTGGGACCTGCATTATTATGTGTTAAATAAGAACACTTGTATATTAGGTATTTCAACAAAACAAAACAACACCTGTATTTCTGCCCCAGACATGAAGGCTTGGAAAGAAGTTTAGAAAGAGCAAAAGTTTAGCAGGCAATTGTCAGAAAAGTCACAGGCATGGCATGACATGACATGTGTGCACAAAAGATGGGCACAGACCTGGATGATGCTGAGGATTTCATCGTATGTGCAGTGCTCTCCTTGGCAATTCACCAGGAAGTCGTTGAGCTGGAGTATGCCAACCCCAAATATGCCCAGGGACGTGCTCTCGATTCCAGTGCCATTTGTCACGATACTTGCAGCAGCAATAGCATCAGATATCTGCCTCTGGTTGTCTGAGAGCTGCTGTTTACTCTTAATGAACAACCCCAAGTCTGAGACATTTCTGGTCAACAAATCTGAAACAGAGCCACCCACAGAACATGGACTCTTATCCAGCCTATATCTTTTCACAAAGTTCATTTTAGAGATAAGGGTGCTGTGAAGTCATTACACTGGAGAAGCACTTTATTCATCTTGCTAAACAAGTCTCAAACCCAGTCCTTATTCCTGGCTTCATTGGGTTGAGAGAATAAGGAAACAAATCAATGAATAAGTAAAGGAAACTAAGACAGAGCTAGGTTGATAATACTGAAATGCTGTGAGCTTCAGTAATACATGGTGACTAAATGTAGATTCAATTAATTGGGGACTGGAAGCCAAATTCAGGTTTAATTTTTTGACAACTACTTGTACATTCTTTTTGTTTTTTGTAGAGACTAAATAATTTCTTTTTTGGAGGTACTGGGGTTTGAATTCAGGGTCTTGTGCTTGGTAGGCAAGCATTCTACCAGTAGAGCCAGTACTCCAGTTCTTTTTGCTTTAGTTATTTTTTAGATAGGGTCTCATCCTTTTTTCCCAGGCCAGACTTGGACTGTGATCCTCCTATCTATGCCTCTGGTGTAGCTGGGATTTTAGATATGCACTATCATGTCCAGTTTGTTTGTTGAGATGGGAGTCTTAATAACTTTTTGCCTGGGTTGACCTCAAACTGTGATCCTCCCAATCTTCATCTCCCACATCTGGGATTACAGATGTGATCCACTATAAAAGTACATTTTCTTCTGTACTTGGGCTGGAAATGCAGCTCAATGGTGGACAACTTGCCCCACATGCATGAAGCCCTGGGTTCAATGCCTAGCAGTTCAAAACAAAGCAAAACAAAACAAAAAGGTATAATTACTCGGCTACTCTGTAGGCATGCACATTGTTGACAGCTGTACAACAGTTAATATTCTTAGCTTTAGGATGTCATGTTTATAAATAATTATGAAGCAACTGCATGAAAAAAGAAAGAATTTTTTTCTTTTGCTCCTTAGTGCTTACAGTTCCAGCAAGAGCAGAGAGAAAACTAGTAGGCTCAAAATGCATGGGAGGCTAAAAAAGAAGTCATGGGTGGTGATGGTCATGGTAGTGATTGTTAGTGGGATAAAAGAGAGATATTCTGGAGTGCAGGGTAGAAAAAATGTGCCAGATGTTCAGACAGGCGTACTTTGCTGTCACCAAAGATTTTCCCTGTTAAGGGCCAGGTAACTACTGCCCTGGGGTTGGGCACCCACCTGCCTATAGGTAAGGTAGAGACCAGTGTTTCTCATCTAGGACACACCATACACCTGTGAACCTTTGGAAATGATCAGGAAACAGTGTTTAATTCTTGGTTAAATAACCTAGATTATATGGGCAGAACCACACGATGATGAACTTCCTTGCCAAACATCAACAGTATCAGTCCCCATGACACCAACTGATCTCTTGAAATAATTCTCAGTGTTTCATCAAGCTCTAGAAACAGTGCATAATGTGGAACAGGCTGAGAATTTGTGTGATTGGACCTTGACTTTTAGACAGAAAGATCTCAAAGGAAAATTTAAAAATGTTAAACAAACCTAGGTCAGGCTGAAGGTCACTGTTGTTTTCCTCAATTGTCAGGTTGGTGTAGAGGGGGGCTGACTCAGAGCCTGATCTGTTGCAGGGTACAGAGTAGATGTCAAAGAGATCCTTCAGGTCCTTGCGGCTCCTTACACTGAACGAGGAATGGAAAACACCTCCCATTTAGTACTGCTAGAAAAGCATGGGCCTGAGAAAGAGTAAGAAGGAAGGCTAAGTTGTACCTGAATGATTTGAACAGCTCAACAAATTCAACAAAACTCATATTGCTGTCTGAAACCATGAAGCTCTGGAACCCCTTCATTCCTCCTTTGACCCGCCCATGCCAGCTGCTGCTACTCCAGGCACTGCAAAGAGACACAGCGGTTATGGGCAAATGGGGCCACTAAAATGGTCTCTGATTAGCAATGTGAGCAAAAAAAGGGACTGCAAGTCATTTAAGGTTGCCACTATTTCCCTGTACTTTCTTTTTACTTCCCTTAATCTGTAGTATGTTAGAGGAAATAAACATTGTGTATTGAAACCACTTCATGTTTCCAGCCAATTTAATAAGGGCACAACACTGAGGTTAATATTCCTCCACAAGTGAAAAGTGAAAAGAGCACTTTGAAAGCATAGATCAATGGCAAATAAACCTCCTAAGTTTGATGTTCCTGAAAAAAAGTCACATAAAAAAAGAGCCCTAAGTTACTCAATCATAATCTATGGGAAATAATGCCTGTTCTTTTCTGTATTCCAAATTACAGAAACATACCTAAGAGGAAAGTTTTAAATGAACCAATGTCTTTTTCCTTTCTCGACTAGTTCTTCAATGAAAATGGGAAAGCTTTTAATATTAATGGAAAATGTGAGTCAGAAAAATACTAAGAATGGAAAGAAGCCAACTCTGCCTAAGATTATATTTGTACCTGCCAAGGCTGCATCCATTCAATATAAAAATATCAGTCAACTCACTTAAAAATTCAGTCTTACTGTTTCATGACATTTTTTATTTTCTAAACTGGTTCTATTACAGTACAGTAAAAGAAATGTTTCAACTATGGTTTTTAGTCAGATCAATGAATAGGACATGTCTTTTTTTTCTCTTTTTTGTCTTGGATTTTTAAAAGATATAAGACATAACAAAGTACAGAGAATATCATAGTAATTAGCCAGCCTACTCTCAATCCTGTTAACAGTGTTCCCTCATAAAAAATTATTTTGTGTTGACATCTGAAGGTCACTTCCCTAATGAAAGAGCATTATAAACAGATAAGCAGAGGTTACTGAAACTCAGCTTCGGGGAGCACTGGATATAGGTTCAGGAAGAGGAAACCGGTGGTTTCATCATTTGCATTTAAATAAGTAATTCCCTGTCTTCATTCCAGTTGTCTATCTAGCTCCTGTCTGTGGGACTCATCTCCTTCAGACTCTAGGAAACTCATGTCCTTTCTCCTACTAAAATTAAGGGTCAGTTTTGCTTTCTCTTTTGACAGCATTGGGGTTGATGTTTCTTCTCCCATCTTATCTTTTTCTGTTTTAGAGCACCTAAGTGTCCTAATGGGGTTGGGCCCAGGTTGACCTGGGATCTGGCATGCCAGTTTCTCTCTCAAAAAGATTTTCTTCCCTCACTCTGTTCTTCTTTTTCTTGCTCATGAGTGACTGAAATAATCCAAGTCATCTGGCTGTGTGCAGCGTTCAGTGTAGTAACCCTTAGCCGCTCGTGGTCATGGAGCATTTGAAAAGTGACTGAGGGACTAAATTTTCAATTTAATTTAATTTTGACTAACTTAAATAGCCGCATGTGGTTAGTGGCTACTACATTGGACAGTGCAGACTTAGAGAATCAAAACTTGGATTTTATTACTGCTATTGACCTTTGAAGGTTTGAGCTCTCAACTGAAGTAATATGAGAAGGTATGTGTTTGGAATCAGGAAAATTAAAATCCTTTAAAATTTTAAGGTTTTCTATTTAACTGTAAATCAAAATTAGACAGTCTTTCCATGGATAATTGGAAGCACCTGGCCTTCCTTACAACTGCAATGATGTGCAGAGTCCTGTTTTATCATGTTAAGGCCCCACCTGGACAGACTCTTGTTTGAAGAAGACAGCACAGGGGAGGAGACTGGCCTGATGGGGGATGATGTCCCAGAAGCCAAGTTGGGTGACCCAGCTGTGGTCAAAGAGTGGGCTCTTCTCGAAGGGAGAGGGTTGGGAGGGCTAGCGATGGCATTTGCCTCTGTGAGAATGAGAAACAGAAAAGAGACAATAACTCAGATTCTACTGTCCCTAAGAAATAAAATACAAAGCAAAGATGCTCCAAGATGTCTGAGCAAACCAATCTATGCAACTGATTTCTGTTTAAAAAACATCCAAATATTTTGATGAATGACTGGTGGATTTTCAACTGGCTACATATTAGAATCATCTTTAAAAAATAAACAAATGCCCAAGTCCCAAGCAAAGAATACCCAAATCAGTTGGTCTTGGGTGTGGCCAGGGCATCTAGATACCTTTTTAAAAGCTCTAACTTCCAGCCAAGGGTTGAGAATACTGGTCTAATCCATCAGGTCATACTCTTACATCTTATAGTCCCTGACAATACTGGCAAGTTAATGAGAATTTTCTTCCAAGTTCAGTGTGCTTATAGAAGTACCTTTACATTTCATTATTTGTTAAGATAAAGAGTTTTATGTACCCTCATCCAGCACGACAATAAAAAAAAAGATAGTTTTCTTAAGAATGCCCACAATATTAAAATCACAAGTTAAAACTAAAAGTATATTTTCCTATAAAATTAAAACACAAAAGTCTCATATGTAAACAAGTTGTATTACCTGATTCTTCCTGTTCATTAATGTCTTGAGGATCAGAACCACTCCGGCTTCGACATTCTTTGTACACTTTGGCTTTTCGGGTCACCATCTCATCGTCAGTGGCCTCTCCACTTTCTCCCTGGGAACACAAAGCCCACGATGGCTCTCAGCTTGCATTTCTCTCCCACCATTGCTTTAGTTCTGGCAGGTTGTTATTTTCTGACCTACTTCACCTTACTGTCTCCCCTTGGTGAGACCAATAAAGACCGATATTGATCCAGTATTCTCATGTCTGTCACATTATCCAATTTGCTCTTCACTATAAAGCAGCACTCCTCAGGATGGGAGGCCAAAAAGAGGAGGCACACACTCCTGGAATCTGTGTACACACACAGTTGTGAAGCAGATAAAGTTCTACTAATCATCAATAACTTTCATATACAAAGAGTGGGACAGTTTTTTAGATAGCCACGAAGCAAATATATTATCATGTGATGGAGATAATATACGTTATATAATATAATAGTGACTATATATATTTTTTAATTTTTTGTTTGACTCAAGTCTCTGGAGCACATATGAGTGACAATATATTTTAAGTTGTATTCCACATAAAGCATTATGGGCCTTCTGTAATGTGATTTTTGTGTTCCTTTCTAGCCCTTTCTTGCCCACCAAGTTGTTCTAGACAATCAGAATAGCATGTGCTTCTCTGAACAAGCGAAGCCTCTTATGTCTCTCTGCTGTCTCCTCTGTTAGGGATGCTTTTCTTTGTATTGTCTGCTTGGCAATCTCCTATATGCCTCCAGGGCCCATGTGTCAACTGTTCTGAGATCTTCACTGCCTGCCTCTTAGCCCCTTTTCTTTGCTCCTGTAGCACGTGCAGATGACTTAACAATGATTCTTGTTCAGATTGTACTGCGTTTGTTAACTTTTCTGTGCCCTTCTAAAAACCTTATCTTTCCCCTGATGTTGGCTTGATTCCTGGCACTGGCTCTGGCACCTAACAGGTGTGTGGCAAAGCCCTTGCATCATTTGTTTTACACCTTATCTTGTATCCAACTTACATGACCTCATGTGGTTTATGGAGATACAGACCACACAATAGTCCTGGAAGGCTGGGTGTCATGTTCAATAAACAAATACCACTCTACCCTCAGGAGGATTTTCTTCTTTTTCTTGGTGGTGTTTATGCCCAGGGTGTTGTTTCTCTGCACATTGGGCTTCTCAGAATTCTTTGCTGATGTCCCAGGGCTGGGGTTTCGGGTACTCCATCGTCTGCCACCAAACAACTCCACAGCGTGAGCCAAAGTTGGACCTTCATACCGACCATCTTCCTGTAAGGAACCACACGATGAACACGTAAGGAAGCAGCAAGCAAGGGGAAGTAAATATTAACAGTTCCAGCAAATTCCAAGGGGTGAAAGAGCACAGATGACCGCAGAAGAATAATGACCTGGCCACCCAAGTGGCTCTGTTTTCCAATACTCGGACTCCTGCTGGGAATTTCATTGTGTTCCCTGTTGTCCTGGTCACCTCTCTGATCAGTTTCAGTGATGTGCTTTAACCTGTCAACTGTGACAATAAATACTTCCCATCCTGGTCTCAGAGGTAGGAAACACTGTAGGAAAAAATTTATTAAGACCTTACAAATCAGGGCTTTGGGGGACTTGGTGGTGTTGGAGGTAGAGGGCAGGGTGTAAATCTGCTCAAGTAAAACTCATTTCTATTTGCAGTTGTAACATGCTTAGTTTGATGCATGGGAAAGTCTGATTTGACATATAGGGCACATGGCCCATGTGAAATTCATTTTGGAGGGCCCTGGGGAGCTCCTCAAAGAATTGGGCTGCCGTCCTCTGGAGTGACTGAAATCTGAAGATAGATGGAGAGCCCATGGGACTTAGAATGCCATGCAGATTATGATGCTACAAGCAACAAAGCCACTCTCAAGGGGGAGGTAATGGTTCACAACAGCTAATGCTTGCAAAGCAACTCTGTGTTACATCTTTTAAGTGAGTAACAGTAGGGATTGTTCATTATACAATGATTGATGATGTTTCCACAAGTCAACAAAGACAGTTAAAACCACAAAAAGACAAGCTAGGTATATAGCTCAAGTGGTAGAGTGCCTGCCTAGCATATGCTAGTCTTGGAGTTCTAATCTCAGTAACTAGAAAAAAAAAGTATAATATATTAGTTTAGGCATGGTTCAAGTAATAGAGCACCTGCCTAGCAAGTACAAGGCCCTAAGTTCAAACCCCAGTACTGCCAAAAAAAGACACATATGAATAAAAGACAAAATTGATGATATTTCACACATTGTATAAAAGGGGCTTCTCTAAAATTAATTTCCAGGGGCTAGGGGTGTAGCTTAGTGGAGCTAAGACCCTCCACTAAGGGAGAGCTTGCCTAGCATGCATGAGGCTGTGGATGTAACCCAGTACCTCCAAAAAATTAATTTCCTTTTAGTGTCTTTACCCCTGAAATCTTTGCAATTCCAAGGAAGTATTTGTAAACAGGTTTTGTTTGATTGCAGATAATATGGAAATAATAGAGGTTTCTGTGTGTGTACATGCATGCTTATTACTTTATCCTAAAGTTCAATGACTATCTGTTTTATGACTGGAATTGTGAATTCCACTTCCTACACCCTGCTATGGGCCCAGGATGCAAGTAACTTGAGTTCTTAACATAGGAACCTTTGGGTAACCTGTTGTAGAGGGGCATCTATAACTTATGCCTGTCCATTATCTCTTTCTCCCTTCTCTAACTATACTCCAATTTTGACTATCTCTTTTTCATTAGAAATAGTCTTAATAGATCAATGTGGAATATCCTACCTTGATTAATGATTAACACATGATCCAAACAAGCCAATTATAATCTTTCTGGAATATGATAATCTCTCATAAAATCCCTGACATAGGAATTTTTTTTTGAGATGGGGTCTCACTATGTGGTCCAGCCTGACTTTGAACTCAAGATTCTCCTGCCTCAGGACTGGGACTATAGGCATGCTCTACGGCACCAGGCTAGGAATAGGATTCTTGAGTGCAGTGACAAAGAGAAGAATACAGAAGGAGAGCACTCCATCTGATGCAGGTCTGTTGACAAGAGTACCTGCTAATAAGTCATTATGACTGACTCCAAATTGGAATAAACATTACATAACACAATTTAATCAGTAGGTTTTTACTACCTTATTGAATACCATACTCTAAATCTGAAATAAATTATAAAATTTTATGTATGAATTTTTAATCCACATATCTTTAAAAATTAATAGATATGTTATAGTTTATACATAAACAAATCAGCACAATTAACTTCTGCTATTTTGGTTTTGCTAATTTCAGAGCATTCCAACATGTATCAAACTTTGCCCTTAGAGATAATAGGCCAGGAAAAGGAAGGGTGCTTTTGTTTATAATCTTTTCTGGGAATTAAAATGTAGCTTGAAACTTCTTTTCATCTTATATAAAACAATACAATTGTTTGGGATGAGTGAATGATATTCCTTTATTTTTACTGTGAGAGAAGGACTATCGTGAGTGAAGGAATATTCTGTTTTAAAACACAGTTCATGTGGGAAAGATCAGAAAATTGATTCCTTAAAAAAAAAAATCCATGTACTTTTACATCTTGGTATATCTTTCAAATGACATTTTGAACACTGTTAAACTAATCTACACCCTTTGATCAAGTATTTTTTTCCCTCTGCATATAGTGAGAAATCTGTTTCTGTTGCTTACAACCAAATATGTTCACCTGATACTCCTGTATTTAACCTTCTCAGCTTCCCCTAGATCCTTCCAAATGCCCGAGACTGTGGGCCCTCAGCTCTGCCCATAACAACTTTGGCCAAAGTTCATTGGGGGGGTGGGGGGTCATCTCTCCTCAAAATTTCACATCAACATCTTGCAAGGTTATGATCATTTATTTTCCAGCAATGTTAGAAAGATTATTTTCATTTTCTACATATGCATTTCCCAAATCAGGGACAAAGAAATGCTATTACATGACTGTTAACAGAAGTTTGGAAAATTCAAAAGAGTTTTCAAAAATTTTCTTGACTTATGGATAAATTTAAATAGAGTGTTCTGGTATGAGGGTGTCTTGGAGCATTTAATGTGCTAAGATGTGTAAGTCACTTAATAATTATGCTAATGCTACATAGCACAGTCATTTTTAGTTAGTTGATGTAAAATGTAAACAGAAATACTTGCTTCCACTGTCATAGTTCTATTTGTTCTGTGATACTAATAAAAATGATAAATTTTTCCATTAAACAGAAGAGTGGAACAGGTTCTGCCTGGGGGAGCGGGATTGGGGAGGTGGAGGTTAAAGTGGGTAGGAGGAGGGAGTGAATTCAAGTATGATTTATTTGATACATTGTAAGAACTTTTGTAAATGTCACAATGTACCCCAACCCAGCACAACAATAAAGGAAAAAAAAGAAGTATTAAAAAAAGAGACAAATTTGAATACTCTGATGCAATTCATTTGACAATGCCATTTCAACAGTGTCACCTTGTGCTGGAATTTATGACTCCGTTTCCCAGCAATTTGCATTCTCCTCTAACAACAAAGCTACTCTGTTCATGCCCATGTCTCTTCTCACCTTCTCATTTATCCCTGCTGCCACTCTTAGGTGGAGTTTTTATTAAGGCACCTCAGGGTTAATGAGAAGCTCACTCAATTTAAGCAGCTGACTGTCTGCTAAGGGCTGTTGCCACCATAAACCTGCTGGGGAAGAACTCCACATAAGAATTATCCCACGTTTGGGAAAGTTTCTTTTAACTTTAAAAGCTCTACAACTACACAGCATACAGTCAGTTACATACCTCACCTAACATGCTATGTGATGAACCAGGACTGCAATTTCCAAAGGGAAGGTTTTCCAGTATATCAGGTAGTCACTAGTTAATAATGAAAGCAGGTTATAGTGCTTTCAGTTGAAACCTGGAGTCACTGAACATGCTTGTATTACTGGTTTCTTTCCAGATGTGAGAACTACAATGGCCATAGTCACTATTTTCATACAAAATAGTAACAGGACCTACCATGAGTAGACACTATTTTTTACACCATATGAATTTACTTTGGCTTTATACATGTTAACTCAGTTATTCTCATAGATTGCTTCATTTCCATTTGATAGATATGGGAATGGTAGCACAGAGAGGTTAAGTAGAAGCTGTCCAAAGCCACAAAGGTAGTAAGTGGGAGAGCTGGGACCCTGGCAGTCTAATTGCCAAGTGTGTACTCTTCAGGTTTACACTACTCAGGAGAGAGGGACAGCTGCACCCCTTACCTGATAGAGGCTGACATACTGTTTCCGCAGCCACTGCTGTCTTTGGTCAGGGAACCTCCTCATCTTTCTCACGGCGTTAGTGAGTTCCAATAAACCACTGAAGAGCATTTTAGCTGTGTGTTTTGGTGCCACAAAGTGCAATAATCTATTGTCCGTGGTCTGAAGCCCATATAGCAGTGTCACACCAGTCTCTGACAGAAACAAGCTCCCCAGTTTGTTCTGAACACACACAGTGTGTATATCAATGCCAGGGTGTCCCATGTACACAGCCTTCGCTGAGAACAGATCCAAGACCCCCTCCACCAGGCCACTTAACCCAGCATTGCCCAGTAATGGGAACTTGCCAGGCTCAGTCGTATTACTAAGCACACCAAGTTTGGCTTTAGCACTGGCTGGGGAGGCGGTGGGGGGCTTTGTCCAGGTCAAAGTGCTATTGTCAGGCTGCAGCTGGAGGAAGCAGCGGGCAGAGAGGTGTGAGTCCTGATCATAGTGGATGACTGTGGCTCCCTGCAGCAGGAACTGGTGCACATCGGCTTGGATGGACAGCACGTACCATGGGATGAGTTCCGTCCCATGGTCAAAGGCCTTCTGTGACTCTTCTGACCCACGAGGGTCACATTCTTTGGATTGCTCGAGGATGTCATTTTCTGAATCCAGCAAATCTCCAATTATAAACCTGATGGAAAGAGCCACAAATTTGATCTATCTTATAATCAAGAGAAACCAACACAAAACACAAAGCCCTTCACTCACATTGGGCTTAATTTCTTTTTCCTGTTATGAATTCAAATTAGCATAAGAAATATAAGACTCTGTCACAGGATAATTTATTTTACAACAATATTCTAAGATCTTATATTTAGCAAAGTGTCTGAGCATGGACATAAGAAAGGACATAGCATATAAATTATTGTATTTTTTGTCAACAATAATCTATTAGCTTTCCCTCTTATACCATGAACTCTGTTAAATACTTTACATACATTTTTGCACTAAATATGTCCGACTTGTGAAGTAAGTTGTACTTTCTTTTTCTTACCCATTAGGAAACCCAAGGTTTCCTAAACCTTTCTTAAAGGTGAACCCAATGTTACACAGCTCAGAAGAGACCTAGCCAAGTGGGAGTCTGGTCTGTCTGACTCTAGAGCCTATGATTACTAAGCTTGTCTGACTTGTAGCTAAATCATAAACAGAAGTCATGACTTGAATATACTCATGCCAAAATAGGTAAACATGAGACTTAATAGGCTGACCTAGGAAGTACTCTGTTAAAATAAAATACAATTAGCCAAGCACTGGTGGCTCATACCTGTAATCTTAGCTACTTGGGAGGCTGAGATTGGGAGGATCATAGTTTGAGGCCAGTGTAGGAAAACAGAAAAACCTCTATTTCCAAAATAACTACAGCAAAATGGAGTAGAGGTATGGCTTAAGCAGTAGAGTGCCTACTTTCCTAGTGCAAAGCCCTGAATTCAAATCCCAGTCTAACCAAAAAAAAGAAGAAAATCCACACACAAAAAATACAATTAGGCCAGGCATGGTGGCCTCTTATCTGTAATCCTAGCTATTTAAGAGGCAGAGACTGGGAAGGGTGCAGTTCAAGGCCAGACTGGGGGGAAAAAAAAGTTTGTGAGGTGCTGTCTCAGCCAATAAAAAGCTGAGCAGGGTGGCATGTGCCTGTCACTCCACCTGAGGAGTATAAACAAGAGGATCAAGGTCCAGACTAGCCTGGGCATAAACTTGACACCCTATTCAAAAAATAGCTAAAGCAAATAGGGCTGGGGGTGCAGTTCAAGTGGTAGAGCACCTGCCTGCCTAGCAAGTACAGAGCCCTGAGTTCAAACTCCAGTACCACACACAAACACACACACATGCACAGAAAATGTATACATGCAAAGCCATTCGTTGAGAAACATGGTCATGGTGTCCAGATAAGCAAGAACAGCTCTCCTTGACTCAACCTTACATGTTCACTTAGTGTGTGTGTGTGTGTGTGTGTGTGTGTGTGTGTGTGTACACATAAACAATTGTCTGCAAATTCCCTTCCCTGTGTGAGGAACCTTGATTATCAGGAAGATCTGGGGAGAGGGAAGCAAGGTGGGGAGGGGGAAATAGGCAAGGAGATGCAGAAAGTGGAAGAAATGGCAAAAAGTCTTTCCACGACATCATCTCTGTCTTCAAGGACAAAGCTGCTGCAGCTAACAGGAGTGCCACTTTGTAATACTACTCATGGCTTCCATGAGGAAGAAGTGAAAAAGGCACTTCAGCAGTTCCGGGTGGATCCACTGACCTTCAGTAGAAAGACGATGGTATTGGTATACTTGCTCCCAACAATCCCAGTAAAATGAATACCTTTTCAGGTGTTTCGATGTAACAGATTTTGGGAAGAGTGATTGAATTAGAAATTTGGAAAGAAGGGAAAGGCCTCATTGTCCACAGAGCAAAAAATACTTCTCTTCAGGATCTGATCTGAATGCTGTGAAAGCACTAGGCTCTCCAGCAGATGGAATGGCCTTATCTATTTTCACGCAAAACACCTTAACAAGATTTATGAGGCTATCTTTAATAAACAATGCACTAGTTCAAGGTTAGGCATTGGGTGGAGATGCAGAATTTACTACAGCATGTGATTTCAGGTTAATGACTCCAAAAAGCGAGATCAGATTTGTCCACAAGGAAATGGGTATAATTCCAAGCTAGAGTGGAACAGTTGTCCCGACTGGTTGAAATCATTGGCAGTAGACAAGCTCTCAAAGTGTTAAGTGGGGCCCTAAAACTGGATTCCAAAAGAGCTTTAAACATAGGAATGGGTGAAGAGGTCCTACAGTCTTCAAATGAAACTAAATCTCTAGAAGAGGCACAAGCATGGCTAATGCAATTTTTTTGTGGGCCACCAGAAGTTGTTAGAGCTATGAAAAAAATCTGTTTGTTCAGACAAAAAACTATACTTAGTGGAAGCATTACAGAATGAAAGAGCTCTTTTAGGAACAGTATGGGGTGGACCCACAAATTTAGAGGCTATTGCTAGGAGAGGAAAATTTAATAACTAGAAAAGCTCCAATGGTTAGTGTGTATGAAAGTTATGTCAGGCACTAGTGGCTCACGCCTGTAATCCTAACTACTCAGGAGGCAGGGATCAGGAAGATCATGGTTCGAAGCCAGCCTAGGCAAATAGTTCGGGAGACCCTATCTCAAAAAAGCCCATCACAAAAAAGAGTTGGTGGAGTGGTTCAAGGTGTAGGGCTTGAGTTCAAAGCCCTAATATTGCAAAACAAAGGAAAAAAGAGAGAAAGTTATATGATATTAAATATGAACAACGGACTTACTGTCAAATCTAGTACTAGTATTTGGAGTTGTTTTGGTAATTTTTTGAATATCTGAATTTTTTGGTCTAGTTTTTTTAATCAACAGTTGTCTAACATACAACTTGGTTTTTTTTTCCCCATTGTTTCTTAAAACTTCCTTTTCACCGATTTTCTTTTTGGCTTTTCTTTATTTTTTAATAAAATTTTATTAGGATACAATTTGTTATATGGGGGGATTCATAATGACAATTCCAATGAGACTTACATTGTACATTAGTTTCATTGCCTCCATCATCTCTCCCCTTCAACCCCCACAACCCCCGCCCCAGTTAAAGCAATTGCAAGAGGTTCCTTAGTTTTGTTTCATATAGGTATATGAAGTCCATCTACCATATACTGTCACTTTAATCTCTTTCACTCCCCCTCCCCCTCCCACTAGTAACCCCCATACCTATTTTACAGTCCTGTTTTTTATTATTAATATTTAAGTTGGTGTCCAAAGGGGTGTCTCAATATATGCCCACTGTGGGTATGCTTTACTTGGGTATGTTTGGCCCCTTCCATTATTCTCCCTTACCCCTTTACCTCCCAGCTCCCATTTTTCAACAGCTTTCAGTACACATCCTTACATCCTCTACCATCACAGATCTTATGTTTTATGACATTACTGATGCTCTATTATTCTCTTTTCCTTTCCCTCTTTCCCTGAGTTCATAGAGTAGTCCCACTATTACAAACATGTTCTACTTCTGAGTTTGTATACCATCATGCTTGTTTTATGTATATGTTTATCTTTGGATCTGTCTTCCATGTAGGAGAGAAATTGTGTGGTCTTTGTGTTTCTGAACGTGGCTTACTTCACTTAATGTGATGTCCTCCAACTGCATCCATTTACCTTCAAACCACATGTCATTATTCCTATGGCTGAGTAATACTCCATTGTGTATATATATATATTTTCTTGATCCATTAATCAGTTGTAGGGCATCTGGGTTGTTTCCAAAGCTTGGCTATTATGTATAGTGCTGCAATGAACATCGGTGTACAGGGGTCTCTATTGTATCCTGTCTTATATTCCTTTGGGTAGATGTCCAGGAGTGGTATCACTGGATCATATGGAAGTTCTATCTTTAGCTTTTTGAGGAATCTCCATACTGCTTTCCACAGTAGTTGTACTAATTTGCATTCCCACCAGCAGTGAATAAGAGTTCCTGTTTTGCCACATTCTCCCCAGCATGCCACATTCTCCATTGATTATGGCCACCTAACTGGGGTGAGATCTAATCTAAGTGTTGTTTGATTTGCATCTCTTTTACAACCAGGGAAGTTGAACACTTCATGTAGTTACTGGCCATTTGTACCTCTTCCTTAGAGAATTCCCTATTTAATTCAGTTCCTTCATTCCTGTAATAGTTCTTAGATCAACATAGATCAGTTTCTTCTATACAAAGCCTACTCCTGGGGTTGTTTTTATAACATTTATCCTTTCTTACCTGGAAACTATTTACAAAAATAACTTAATAAGCCTTGTAGTTAACAAAAGTAGAGGGATCAGAGAACAAGGAAATAAGAAAGTATGATCAATCATTTTCTTCTGCTCCAAGCAGCTGGAGTAGTCATGGAAAATGGCTCTTTAAAAGGTGCACCCTACTAACCCCTACAAATTTGGAGCCTTATTTATTTAAACTTTTCAATTGGTTTTCTATTTTAAATCATCTACTAAACAGTGCTGTATGGAACATCAGCTGACTGTACAAACTGGCCATTCATTTGTATTTACTGGAATTTTCAGGCTAATAATAAATAGAACTGTTTGTGGAGTTTCAAAGACTCATAAAGCACACTATAATGTAGTTTTGTATTTTTCATCAGATTTCTGAAAAAAACTTTTCTTTTGTAACTAGTATCTTTTAATAGTATATTTAATAAAAAATGTATAACTCAAAAAATTTTAAAAAAAGAAAGAAATCTTGTTCCTGTCACTTAGTTCCACCTCTCTGAAATTGTTCTCAATAATAGTGGGAAACCATCAGGCTCGGTGGTTCATGTTGTAGTCTCAGCTACTCAGGAAGCAGAGATTAGAAGGACTGCTGTTTAAGGTCAGAAGCCAGCCTGGCAAAAATGAGGTTCACTACCTGAAAAATGCCTAAAGCAAAACAGGGCTAGTGGAGTGGCCCAGGTGGTAGAGTGCCTGCCCAGCAAGCACGAGGCTCTAAGTTCAAACCCCAGTACCACCAAAAAAAATTTTTTTTAAAACAGTGGAAACCTAATGCTATGTTCTCCTACACAGTTAGGAACACACCCTTTGCGGTCACCATGGGCTCAATGTTCAGCTCTACCACCTGTTTGCTGTGTGACCCGGCCAACATTA